AACTATCAACAGTAGTCCTGTGGATATAAAATATTTTCTTTCTAGGTTTGTAAGTCTAACAAATAGCATTAATGGGCAGCAATAGATGTTTGTTTTCAATAAAAGTAAGTACTCTGAATCAGTTTGTAGACAAAGGGGGGAAAGGTTGCAAAGAAATGGGATTGAATACACCTAAGAAAGCATTGATAAAGCAAGTTCCCAACAGAAGAGGTGGAAATGGGATCAAGATGATTGATAGAGGAAATGAGGGTCTCTGGAGAGTAAGAGTATTGATTGAGGAGATAAATTGGTACAGAATGAAGCCAGATGTTCAAAATACAAATGCTATCCACCTTACAGTTTTAAGTAGGGGTTTTCCTGCTAAAGTGCCTTGATCAGACATGGTGGGGGCCAGGCTTCCAGTAATGACCATCAACAGCATTCCACCCACAAGTAGGTATGTTTGCTCACTCCCATAGGATTTCCAAGACAGACAAAGAAAACAGATTTAGCCTGTACTTGATTGCACCAAAAATTGACATAAACAGAACCCAACAGATTTTTGTGTGTGGGGGGACTTCTTACACTTCATTGTCTCATTATTTGCTATAAGATAGAAATATTTAGATGTTAGATATATTAAAGATATGCAGATTTCAGAAATTCTACCTTGTTTCTTTTAAACTATGAAGGTCCTCAGAAAGCTCTTAGAAAATGGAATTCAAAGTTGTTATTTTTGGTGCATTTTTTTAAATTCATGAATATGAAGGGTCTTCAAAAATTCGTGAAAAATGCATATTGTGAAAAAACCATGTTAGGATTTCAATTTTGTTTGCATCAAAATAAACATCTAAGTCCATTTCCCATGAACTTTTTGAAGTACTTTCGTATTTCCCCCAAGGTCTCTAAAGATCCACGTAAACATCATATTTACCTACGAAATGTTTCTCACAATCGAAGTTCAAGGTGTGACTGACGTTCCCAAATGCTGCAGTGCCGAGGGCACCAGTGAGAAGGGTCAGAGTTACATCAAGGAAATACAAGCGCAGCGGTTTGTGAGATGAGGTTTGCAATTATAAAAAACACTCTGCAACCCCAGGTTTTTATCTCCCCAAACCAGAATTCTTTCCCCTGAAAGGCCTGCTTTTATAAAAAATATTTATGACACAGCCTTCTGTATCTTTCAAGTTGACCTTAAAAAAAGCAAAAGACCCAAACTGTGTGGTGACTTTAAATGATAAACTTTTATTCTGAATATACTGTTTTTGCACAAGATTTAACACAACATTTTCTGGGATTATAAATATTTTTATAACAGTATTATACAAATTTTTACAAAATGTTTTTTATCAGGCTAGTTAATTTCCACAAAAGTGTCAAGAGAACATAATAAAGGGGGAGAAGAGATCTATTGTTCACAAAAGCCACTTGGCCTTTCACTGGAATGCACACAGAGCATTTCAATAAAAGTATTCTAAAAGCATGATCCAACACTCATACAGCACGAGAAGACAGCTTTGCCAGGTCACACTGGAAACTCAGTTGGCATCTATGCAAGACAGTATCCCATTAGTCTCAGTGGAATTTCTTCAAGATAATTACGTGAATTAGAAATGAAGTAGATGAAACCATCAGTAGGAGTTGTCTAATTCTTCAAAACTCTTGCAATGTTTCAGCATTTGATATTTTCATTTTATTGATTTGCTCTTTACAGAAATGTACATTGAATATTAACAATATTAACATTCTGCTAGGAGAAACAATACAGGTTCCAGATGAGAATAAAATATTTGAAATTTGAGTGAGATAGTCTTTCTATTCTACATTAAAAAAGTACATCCATTTTGTCTCACTAGATCTGACTCTACTTTCAGACAGTTTAATGTCAACTAAGATGATTAATGGAACAGCTTAAGAGTTTTAAATTAAGACAGAATTTGAGCTTTGGTGGAGACAATACGAAGATTTAAATGAGATGTAACATACAAGAGAGCATCAAATAAGCAAGTAACACTTGGGTTGCAAAGGTCACTTAAAAGGGATACTGCCTATTTGAACCCCATAAGGCCAGTTTAAAGTTAATAAAAGGAATATTTTATAGGAAAACTTACAAATGGCAGCAACACTGTTTTTTTTTTTTCCAAGTTAAGCACTAACGCCTCAAGCATTAGAAACATGAAAAAAGATCATACCAAAATCTTAAAGGCCCAGGACCTAAAAATCTTTTCAATCAAACTTGCTAACTATGTCATGTTAAAAACCTGTTACAAATATGGACCACGACTGGTGTTTGGCAGTAATGCTGGTTGTTCAAATGAAGAAAATACAAAGAAATCATTAATGTGAAATGTTAACATCAATGCAAGACTGATTTTGACTGTGTTTTGGTAACAAACTGCATTAGCCTACATGAATATAGCAAAAATTAAATAAGTGAAAACAGTTTAAGACCTTTTTTATTGATCTCTTGTTCTGTCTTTGGGAATCAATATTAATAATAGGATAGAATTATAGTTCTTATCAACAGAACTCACAGAAAACCAGTGGTAAATTTAAAAACAAGTTGATGGGATGGGTATTACTGTCTTCCAAAAAAGTATTCTAAAGCCATGAGGACTCAGTATCAGTCATGAGAAAAACTTTTAGGCAGAGAGCATGTTCTTACCCCATTTATTTCCTTGTACATGGTTGTCACAGGATATAACTTCATCATATAACAGAAAATAGAGGTTTATAGCAAGACTCATGCATATAAGTATATTTTGATGGGAACAGAAGTCAAATAGGGTTCTGTCAAGAGATGCCAAGTTTAACTATGATTAATATAACAATAATGCAGTTGATGGAAACGTACTATATAACTGACATTACCCATGAAAATATATTTTATAGACTTTAAACATAATTTTAAGGTAGTCTGTTGTATGCTGGAAGCAATTCAATTGTTTTAATGTGAGTCATTTATATACACAAACTATCTTTTTTTTGTTTTGATATCCCCTTCTCAACACTTCAATGATTTAAAAATCTAGCAAAAGTTACAATAAGTTTTAAATATTTAATTAACAAACAATATGATTTAAACATATAGTCAATATAGTGAGAAGTTCTGTATTTTTCTTTTCTATCACTTTGGTGTCTTCTAAAATGTTGATACCAGTTATGAATGAGACTACAAAATCATGACAGTGCATTAGAAATGGTAACTGATGTCAACTCTTAGAACAATCATTGGCAAAGTGGTTCCACTTTCCCTACCCCCTACCCCATTTTAAGTTAAAAAAAAAAATCTTAAATAAGGAGATGTACACAAATGGTATCTAGGGCATATTGGTGGTGGGAGGGAATTACAAATGTATGTAAAGCTAAAGACAAAACAAATATATCTTTTCAACTATGCTAAAGAATTGGTTCTACCTTTGATATGTGGAGCATATTAAAGCATGCTGGATAATGTTAATAACTTTGACTTAAAAATGATATATAAGAAAATTTCCAGCATTTACACACACCAATTATTTGGCATGTTCAAAAGATGAAAAAAAAAAGCATTTTACCATAAAAAAATCTGCATACTTTCAGCCTTCAGTAAAATTACTCATTACGCTAGAGTTACACATTCGTTGTTTTTACTCCTTCTTCAAATACTGTTTACTCCTGAAAATAATTTTTAAAAGCATAAGTAATACTCTGCTATCATGTCAACCTGTAATGAAATATCTGATTTACTACGCTAACCATTTTCACCTCTGAGGCTGTATAAAAAAAATTTTATTATTCACAATCAAGTGTTCATGTGCATACATATAGATTCAAGGTTTCCTATTTGTTCAGATTACTGTAAAACCCTCAGCAGGTTATATGGAAATTTCTGTCAAATGATAATAGAATTTAAAGTGGAGGGGCACAAGCAGCAGCACTTTTTGGATTGTCCATGCTACTGTTGAAAAGAACAAAGAGGAAACCCAGAATGAACCTTCTTTGAGAACATATATGTGCTTTTCAAAAAATAAATGTGTCAAATCTGATTTATGTACTTAAAATATCTGTACATAGGTTTTCAGGCAAAAGCACGAATCTGTATAAAATCCATTAATTCTCATTTCACCATTTACCTAACCCAATCATTCAGCACTTTACATTGCACAGTATATTCAGAGTAGTTTAACAACATTTTAGAAGATGACTGAGGTGCATTTACACTGCAAGGTTCAGATTCTTACATAACAATAATGTCACTCAGTTAACTTTTCAAAGGACTACACTCTACAGTAAGAGAAAAACAAACTGAAAAGTTAAAATAGCAGCAGCATCATGCAAATACCCTTGGTAACCCAAGTTCATTTGTCACAAGAAAAACATTTCCCCTCCCCCCAACAGGCTTTTCTTATAGCATCTTTAAATATCTGGCTAGCACTACCTAACTGTACTGCGAACAAAAGGAACGTGACATCAAAGCATTTAAGGGCTTACATTTATGAGGAAATACGTCACATATTCAAATTGTACCCTCAAGCACCTTTAGTTTAATAATCTCTTAGTTGTTATTTCAATCATTAATTCGTTACTCCACCAAAATTTAATTGGTCATCAATTGTGTTTTGCTTTTGGCAGAGAAGCCATTCTTCATAAGGCATTTTATTCACGGCATTTTTTTTGGTACAAAATTAGCCATTATTCATATATCCACAGTCCAATGTTAATTCTCTCTCTTTATATTATATTGTTATATATAGTCACTAACCACTCAAAGCAGGAATTAACTTTTAACAGAAGAAGTGAAGGCAAAAACAACCTCCCCCTTCCCCTAATAGATTTTCTTGGTAGAATTGCAGCAAGTCAAAATTCCAGGTCAAAATCAAGACAGTTCTTATGATTCATAAACAACTGGATGGGGAGCCCTTTTACATGGATCACCAACAATGCAACAACAAACTCCCAGATTTGCCAAGAGAGCACGTATAGAATTCTGCTTTGATGTTATACATAGATGATGCAGCATTCACACAAGTTTCAGGACTGGACACCCTGACATGCAGCCAGTGGGTGCCTGATGAGTCTGCGCCTTAGGGCTCTGCCATGGCAGAGGCCCAGCTAATGTTCTGATTTAACAGTTGACCCTACTTTAACATAACGGAGGGATCATGTTGTGGCAGGGTCTGGAGTTTAATTATGGAGATTTGGTTTTAGAAGGTCATAACAGGCAGTGTCTGCTGCCAGAAACCAGCCAAAGCAGTACAAACTGTATCCCGATGATGGACCACAGGGAAGGATTTAATCCAGAGACCCCACCGCAGTCAGTATAATCCTCCTATTGGAAAGAAAAAAATAAAAATGTAAAGGTCATTTAGTATGATATTTCCAGAGTAACCCGTTATTTTTCCCATTTCTAAACTTACCTTTCAAAACTGCTTTAATTAAAAAATAAATGATAGTGTCTTGGATATTATTGTTCAGCAATTTTAGACAAAGCAAGTTCCATAGCAGCATTTGTCAAGTGTTTTAAATATTTAGTTGTAGACTAGATGATTATGAAAGAAAATGCCTTAATCATAAGTGTTAACGTTGAGTAATAAGAGTATATCATTTTTAAGTAAAACAATTTCATAGTAACAAAAATTCTATATATTACTAAATGTAAGACATAAAAATAAAAGTTAATACTATGTTTCATATTTCCAAGAATTGTGATTGTAGGAAGAATATGCCAGAAGGAACAGTTTGCTTAAGAAATGAACTTCTCCTATATCCCATTTCTAAGGTGATCACATACTGCATTTGTAGCCCCTGGATTTCTATCTAGAATTAAAGAGTGACATATTTGAACCGTAAACAATGAAAGGATCCTCTTTTGAAAATATGTATTTAAAATGAAGAAGTAAGCTAAAAAGAGAGGTGTATCTTATTTAGAGAACCATTAACTAGTAGCAATGAATATGCTCACTTGGATTTGCCAATGTAGTGGTGGCTCATTTGGTTCCCTTCTAATGCAAAGTTATTCTTTACTCTGTAACATTTTTACATCCCCTAATTCCTTTTAACATAGTGGGTTACATTTTAAGAAACCTCACATCTTATCCTCTTAAACATATGTTAGGAATTCATTAATCCAAGGTGCACCTTTCAAGACCCAAAATAATAGTAAATGAATGCATGGCCACATGAAGTTTCATTCCCCACAATTATTTTACAAAGCTTGTCATCTAAACAGTAAGAACTCTGGCTCATTGTATTCTCTGGGATTTAATACCACACCTGCTACCTGGTAAACAAAAAATTTGTCTTGAATTTTATTTTAAGGCAGTAGAACTCCTATTTCATTTGTTAAAGACAAGACTGGAAGAAAAGCATCTATGAAGGAAAATGTTACTGTTTCAAAAGCTTATTTCCTCAATCTAAATAGAATCATAAAACAGTTCTTAGCTCTCTTCCTATTTTACCTTTCAGGAGCATTTTACAATGTATCGCATTCTTTCCCTGAAATATTTTCTCATGGCGATTAGCTCTGTGGCACAGCAGATTAAGCTGCGTCCCATATCTGAGTGCCAGTTTGAGTCCTGGCCACTCCACTTCCAATCCAGTTCCTACTAATACCCCTGGTAAGATGGCCCAAGTGCTCTGGCCAGGCCCCTGCCACCCACGTGGGAGACCATGCAGTTCCTAACTCCTGGCTTTGGTCTGGCCCATTGTGGCCATTTGGGCAGGGAACAGAGAGATCTCACTTTCTCTCTCTCCCCCTCTCTGTAACTCCGTTTTTCTAATGAATAACTCTTTAAAAATATATTTTGTCATGTGTTTTTGGTTAACATACTCCTCTGCCTTTCCTGGAAAGTTGTTTGTGGTCAGTCTTACTCTCCTTGGCTTGAGCTCCTCCTTGTCATGCCCTCTAAATGCTAGACTTTTCCAGGGGTCCGCTTGCTCTCTCCTCTTTTTATTTTTCATGTGTACTCTGTGTAGGTCACCTCACCCTGTATCACAGCTTTAAATTTCATGTATTTGCTAATAACTCGTTCTTTTGCATCTTTAGCCCCAAATTCTTCTCTGACTTCCAGATCACTACTTGGATCTCTCATGGAGATTTAAAATTTCACTTGCTCTGGCCGGCGCCACAGCTCAATAGGCTAATCCTCCACCTAGCGGCGCCAGCACACAGGGTTCTAGTTCCGGTTGGGGCGCTGGATTCTGTCCCGGTTGCCCCTCTTCCAGGCCAGCTCTCTGCTGTGGCCCAGGAGTGCAGTGGAGGATGGCCCAAGTGCTGGGGCCCTGCACCCCATGGGAGACCAGGATAAGCACCTGGCTCCTGCCATCGGATCAGTGCGGTGCGCGGGCTGCAGTGCGCCGGCCGTGGCGGCCATCGGAGGGTGAACCAACGGCAATGGAAGACCTTTCTCTCTGTCTCTCTCTCTCTCTCACTGTCCACTCTGCCTGTTAAAAAAAAAAAATTTCACTTGCTCCAAAATATTATTATTCTGAGTATCAGTAAAAAGTACTTCTAAAGTGGCAGACCAAGCCAAAGAATGTAAGTCATTTGTAATTCATCTCAAATCAGCCATTAGCATGTCCTGTGAACTCTGGCATCAACATATACCCCCACACCCATCATCTCTCCCTCTCTCTCAGGTCTAAGCCACCACCACCATTTCTTGCCTACACTTCTGCAAAACATGTCTCATTGTTTCTATCCTGCCATTTTATAGTCTCCTGAAAACTATAAAAACCTTTTATGCCTGCTTGAAATTTCTCATCACTGTCAGAACAGCATCCACAGTCCTGAACAAAGCCTGTGTTCTTTCTGGGGTTTGGGGTCTGGCTGCCTTTCCACCTTCACCTTCCCACATTCCTCTCCTCTCCCCTACCACTCACTCTAATCCAGGGAACTCAGGATGTCTCTGCAACAGGGCCTTTGTCTTGCTCTTTGCTAAGATGATGTTCTCTCCAGCTACAGTAACCAGGTGTAAAACAGGACGCCCAGTTATATCTGAACTGCAGGTTTAAAATACTGCTTTAGTGTAGCTCAAGCATCTCACACTCAGAAGCGTGGCCTGATACATAGGTGTGCAGTTTTAGTCCTTGGTAAGTAAACAGTAGGTACTCAATAAGGCAGCACACATATTGAGTGGCTAGAAGTGCTGCCAACATGAAACACTCACTCGGAGGAGTACCACAAGCAGTCCCCAGTTCCAGGAAATAATTATTTAGATGGATGAAAAATTAGCATGCAAAGGAGACTCCTTTATGTAGTAAGGGTGGATTTTGTCAAGGAAATTCTTAACATAAAACACATCTTTATGGTTTAGAAATGTGTTATGGAAAGAAAAATATTCTCTCTGGATCTTCATTATTTTTCTATATATTTTTTTTGGGGGGGGGAGGGTTTCATTTCCTCCATGTGGTGATGAGATAAGTCTGTTCCAATCTGGGAGGTGATCCTGTAGATAAGTTATTTGAAGTCCCTGTCATCTGCAGGTTGTTCAAACAGTTTCCTAATCATGTTTTTGCATGTGTTTGCATGGTGCCACCACATATACTGACACTAGAAATTATTCTCTGGAAGTACATGAGATACATTCTGAATCACAAAGAACAGATACGGGAGAAACCTCAGCATTTCCTCTGTCTTCTAGAGTTTGACACCAGTAAAAGACTTATTTTTAAAGACTATTATAGTAGCAAATAACAGATTGGTATCTTGTTTCAGCTTAGCACATTAAAACAGAGAAAGAATGCTATGCCATTTTACATGTATCTTGGCTTTAAAATATGATAGACTAATTTTACTAGCATTCTTCAAAGGGAACATCTCTCAAAAGACTCTTAAATAAAGATATCAACTGAGAATTCTTTATTACTTTTCCTTCTCCATTACTTATTAAATGACTTGCTAAAAGTAAAAAAAATTAAATCATAATTATATTCATGTGACTTCGTGTCAAGGTTTAGTTTGTTCAAGGAGGAACAACAACAGTGCAAACCTCTCCAATTTACTGATGTTAAAGAAGTATCATCGAACCTTAGTCTTGCCTGTCTTTCCCCAAACAGAACTTGAGGCAATCAGCAAGAGCTCATCCATCTTTGATATATTTAAAACTTTAGAAATACATCTCACCAACAGAACGTGGCACGGTCGTAAGGCTCAGTTGTTTGCTCTTTGGGAATTACAGCTGTCATTTCATTTCCTTCAAAGGCAAATCACTAGTGAGGACACCTACCAAATCATGGCTAACTTCCAAATTCAGATAAGTCTCGAGTTATTGAGGCAGATGGATACTGCACAATAACTCTTTTTTCTTTTTGACAGGCAGAGTGGACAGTGAGAGGGAGAGACAGAGAGAAAGGTCTTCCTTTTGCCATTGGCTTACCCTCCAATGGCCTCCGCGGCCAGCGTGCTGCGGCCGACGCACTGTGCTGATCCGCTGGCAGGAGCCAGGTACTTATCCTGGTCTCCCATGGGGTGCAGGGCCCAAGCACTTGGGCCATCCTCCACTGCACTCCCTGGCCACAGCAGAGAACTGGCCTGGAAGAGGGGCAACCGGGACAGAATCCAGCGCCCTGACCGGGACTAGAACCCTGTGTGCTGGCACCGCAAGGCGGAGGATTAGCCTAGTGAGCCGCGGCGCTGGCCACGATAACTCTTTTAATAAAAACGATGCCCAAACAATTTGTTCTCTGCCACAGTATCTTAACACTTATTAACTCACCAAATGCTGACTGATTACTATTTATTTTTCTGAAGACAATTATGTACTTTTAGAAATTGCATTTGCAAAAAATAACAATATTTCTCAAAGAACTGATTTGTTTTACTTTCTTCCTTGATAAAGTTTAGGCTTGTTCTTTTCTTTCTGTCGCTCCCCCTCTTCATGGAGGAACGACACTAAACCCTGCCTAGGCTTCATATCCGAGTCACGGCACCATTATGTCGCTCCCCCTCTTCGCGGAGGAACGACACAGGACCCTGCGCTGTTCTTTTGTCTGCTCGGCCCTCCCCGGGTTTGCTGCTGGTTCTTCCCGGGTTGGCTACCGTCCCTTCCACCTCCGTGGAAGGGCGGTTCCCCCAGCCACTTTCCCCACATCCGCGGGGGAGCGGCACACCACCGGCCGGCTCTCTCGGGGGCTGCTCAGGTGTTCCCTTTAGATGTTCCTGGTGCATGTTGTCTCTCTCCTCCTTTATAGTCCTCTTCCACCAATCCCAACTCTGCTACCCACACGCCGAGTACGCTGCTCTCCTCCAATCAGGAGCAGGTCCTGCTGTTTATTGGTTGAACTGGAGGCAGCTGTGTAGAAGCTGTTTCCTCCTCTCCCAGCGCCATATTGTGGGAAAGCAGATACATAGAGTAAGTCTTAATTCCAGTAACTTAGTCTAGTCCGAGTTGCTCCCCACACTTTCTTTCTTTTTTTTAAAGTATTTATTTATTTGAAAGGCAGAGTTACAGAGAGAGGAGAGACAAAGATAAGAGATCTTCCATACCCTGGCTCACTTCTCAAATGGCCACAACAGGCAGGGCTGGGCCAGGCTGAACCAGGAGCCAGGAGCATCTTCCAGGTCTCCTATGTGGGTGGCAGAGGTCTAGACACTTGAGCCATTCTCCGGTGCTTTTCCAAGTGCATTAGCAGGGAGCTAGATCGGAAGTGGAATAGCCGAAACTCGAAATGGCACCCATACAAAGCCATGGCTTTAACCTACTGTGCCAGCCCCAGGTTTGTTATTTTTATTCAGGAAGACTGAAGTTTCTCCAAAAGCTTGTGTCAGAAGGTCTCACTTTTACATTTGTGTGTTAAAGAAGTCCTCATGGTTGGAGCTTTGTAACTATAATCCTTAATCTTTACCCTTTCTGGATTGCACAGAGTGCAAGGGCCCTAGATGCAGACAGAGTCATTTTTTAAGTGCATTAGAGATACTTACTCTGGAGCTTACACTATCTTTCCTCTTGTCCTGTAAGCAGAATCTAATCTACCACTAATTGTGAATTTCAGCTAGACTAACACTGAAGTTTAGATCTTGACTTTTATTGGTTCTCAATGCGAAAAACAACTGCCAACTATCCTGGCAATATTTTTATTCATAATATTTTTTTTTAAAGTTAAGGTTTTGGAGAAAATAATACTTTCCTTTGACATCATGTCAACACTCAAATCACATTAATGGGATTCACTGTTCCATACTCATACCTGTACTTTAAAATAACTAACCAAGTTTTGCTAATGAAAAGTATACACCATCAACACTGCCTTCTCGGGATGAATCACTAAGTATTTCTCAAGGACAGAGTGACGTCAAGAAATCCCAGATGTGCTCTTTCTATCACCTGCAATTTGTTTTGCCCAAATGTACTGATGTCATTCCATCAAGCCTATGTTGATGTTTATTTTGTGAAACAACAATGGTGAAAAAGAAAAATATTACCAGTAGAATCTTAGATGAAAAATTCAAAAATTCGCTGGTAATTACAGATTTTTCAAGATAAAGGTAAAAAGGGGGCGGACATTTGGCAACAGCACTTGCAAAATTTTGCCCTTCCTTGGTAACCTGTAAGTCTTACCTGAAAATACTGTGATGGAGTAAACTTGTGACTCACAGGTGAAAATGTATCTAATTTTTATACTATTCCTCATCCACAGCACATAATTTGATACTGTTATGTTCTTGTTTGTTCATTTACATTATGACCACAGAGACAATTTTCAAAACATATAATTTTATTACTTAGTTTCTTCTTCAAAAAATCAATTTTAAATAGCTGCCTATATATTAATTTTACAAATGTGTACTTGGAGAATGTGGGTTTTGTTTCAGTCATTTACTTTTTAAAATCAGCTAGGGTTTTCTTTAATAGGGATTTTCAGCAATGGCAACTATTATTTTACTATCTCAAAATAAATCTTTTTTTTTTTTCTGATATTCCCTCTGCTACCCACACTCCCCCCTCCTCACCACCCTCATTAGCTCCCTCCATGCATAGTAACGGCCACATCTCCATCTAGTGGTTCCCTACGCAATGAATACCTGGAGACCAACGAAGAAAAAACACAACAGTGTTTTTTCAGTAATACAATCATGATGATGCTAGAGCATCAGAAAAGAAATTTCAAAACAATAAATAGAACAATGAAAAGAGATCCAAGTCCTAAAACATTTGATACTAGTGCTGCTTATAAAATTCAGAATTTTTTCAAAAGGTTAATAAATAATGACAAGTTTTGGCAAATAACATAAGCAAATTAAATAAAATGAACTTAGAAACACCTGTACTGAAACTTTTCACTCAGAATATCAATATTTGGGGAGTAAAAATCCAGCAAGTTTTTTAAACAAGATTCATTTAAAAGCAAGGAAAAATCAGAATGACTGATTCAGAAGTTCTTAAACAATTAAAATGGTCCTATAATTTTTTGTTAGCATTTTTGAACATAAATTGAAACATCTAGCTCTGATAATTGGCATCAAGATTCTTTAGTAAAAGTGATATCATGAGACATATATAATTTTTTTCCACGTTGATTTAATTAATACCCAAACACCTAAAGAGAAAATAATGATTTTTAAATAAATACAGGAAAATGATATGTTCTGTTTAGGATTAGAAACTTAACACACCATTTGAAATCAGCCACTTACAAAGCAACAGTAGCACTGGAATTTGAATAGCCTGGTTTCAGGACATTTATTATTGTGAATTTAGGGATATGGGTTATTTTATAAAATTTCAAGCCAAAAACAAAAACAAAGAAAAATTAGAGAAAGTGACTGACCATCCACACCACATGAAAACTTGCAGTAAAATGAAGATAGGAGCTGACATCATGGTACAGGCACGACTCGTTGTGCATATAAGTTGATCCTATTAATAACGGGCAAAGTAGCAAGTACAGGAAAAGGAAAGAAAACACAGAAAAGAAGACATACAAGATGAGATTTCATGCAATTTGCTGGCAGTTAGCAGTTCATGTGAGCCTCCATTCAGAGCAGAATCACAGTGACCGTAGCAGATAAGCATTACCAACATACTCCACTGCTAAAGAAACACAACACAGTACCAGCACACCAAGCCACCGAGCAGGAGTTGTACTTTCACACACAACCTGATAGAAAATGGGCAGGAACTTGAATTGTTGGGAAATTTTATCAGTTAAATCTTTTTAATGCTTTGATTAAAAAAGGTAGCTTCCTGGGATAAGAATATTTTGGGTGATAAACAGGGTTTCTATACCTTTTAAGTTACTTCTGAGTGAGTTTAATCTTTAGACTGAAAAAGCTGGTGCTAACAGTTGGGCAATGAGTTGGCATGGGCAACTTTGAAGATTCTGAATCACTTTTCCTATCAGGAAGAATGATCCCCATAGTGCTTGGAGATAACTGGAACTTACTAGCTAACACATCTTTGCTGTTTAGCCCTAATAGTCACTACTGATTTTCTTTCTTCTTTGCCCCATTTTTAACTTAAATCATCTAACTGGATAATATGTAACTGAAAATCTCCTACCCTTTCTGGGACAAATGTGGCTATATATTAGAGCAGCTAAACATAAGCTAAATAAATAAATAATCCTCTAAATGCATATAAATCAATAGATGTTCTGACATCTTTTCAGAATAAATCATTCATGAGATGATAGTGCTCTGTTTGGATGCTTAAATGTGTGTGCAAGACACTTAATGCAAAGGTATACCTTGAAGAAACAAGATGGGGGAATATAGGATTTAAAAATCAATAATAAAAAAGTGGGCAGAGCATTTTTTGTGTCCATCTGAGAATAAAGTTTTTCTTAATAATTAAAATAATCTAGAAAATATAAAGCTGATTACATATGTAATAAGTCAGAACAATGTTTATTAGGAAAAGATAGCTGAAATATAGAAATAGTAGTGATCATCTTTAGATAATATACATTAAATATTTAATCCAATTAACTCTGTGTAACTGACCTGTCTAATTTAAAACAATAGAAAGAGAAAATAATTAAGGTAAATAATACAAATCTAATGTCTAGTAGAATAAAGAAACCCTTCTAAGAGAAAGTAGAAGTATAAATTAATGGACAATAACTGGATGGCAGGTTTTTAAATACAGAAAACTAATACAAAATAATAAAATATTATAATAAAAGTAACTTTCATGTCTTCAGGATTGGCATATAAATAAGGGCAGACAACACATATACCATAACTAACATATTCTATAAGTTATTATTTATTACAAAGTCTTTAAAATAATTAGACCTTGATTATTAGTAAATTGATTGGAACTGTGTTTGAAAGTACAATTTCTGTGGGAAGGATAGATAGAAGAAGCAACTGTTAAGTATATGCTAACCAAGAAAACTATTGAAATGACAAAAATAAAAACCTATCTACCAGAAAGTACATCATGTTAATAAGGAAAACTATGATTAAGACGTTAAAGTTTGAGTTAAAAATTGCGACTTATCTCCTTAAATTCTTGTGGATGCTGACCATTAATTGGCAGTATTTTAATCCAGTAAAAGTTTCATCTTACCAGGACATTGTTGTCAAAGCAGACATCTGGCCCTTTTCGATATCTGGGTTGCTTAACCATATCACAAGGATCTGGTCCATCAGCTAAAGAGACTTGTTAAGGAATATGAAGTTATTTTTGTTCTCACATGATTAAAAATAAACAATGCAATGCACTTATTTCCCAACGTGAACAAAAGCCATCTATGCCATTACTCTCATCCAACACAACCGTTCAAGCAGTCAGGGATAGAAGGAACTAGGCTTGTGAATTCTCCGCCTGTACACGTGAGGCACAATCATCCTTGAATTCAAGCCAAATCTGGGGTGAGGGGGTCCCTTCTGCCTCCACGGGGTGATCACAACACTTTAATTAATGTTTCTCTTTATAAGCATAATGCCTGTGACAGGGTTAAACATGCATTGCTTTCGGGGGTCATTCTGTTCCCAACTTCTCCAAGTCAAAGGATACAAGTTTGCTCTGCTTGTATGAGCAGCCGTGTGTCACAGGGACATGTCCCCTTGCTCTCTACCATTATGAATATTAAATTGGTGTTCATGAGCTTTTCTACATGAAAGATTCTGCAAAATAAATATTAAGATATGACAGAGAATGATAAATATCTTTTGGGAATCTTCCAAGGACTCTTGGATATTAAAATGAGAGACAAAATATGGTACACTGAAACACAGAGTGCATCATCACCCTCAAAATTAGCTCAACAGCATGAGTATTTTTAGAAGAGAAAAATTACTATGTCTTTATATATTAGCCTAAACATATTACCTCTCTCAACTGAATACTAAAAAAAAATGCAATAGAAAACATCTTAAGTGTGACTTTTGTTTTCCAAGGGCTAGTTCTCATTGCATAGTAAGCACTAGCAGTTGAAACTCATAGAATGAAATGTTTCATGGGACATGGTTAAAGAATTGTGATATTTATCACTGAAATTGAACGAAGGTTGACTTACTTTACAGTAAGAAAACCAGGAACATAAAAATGGCTAAATATCTTCTCGAAGTGCTGTTCAACAAACACTAGCCAAAGAAGCTACTGAGCACCTGAAATGTGACAAGTAAGACTGAGGATCAAAATACTAGCTTTAACTCATTTGGCTGAAATTTAAACAGCCACAGGTAGCTGATAACCACTGCACTGCACAGCACAGATATAGAGAGAATCAAGGGCTTTAAATTCCATTCCCTTCATCCACACCTCAAGCTGCTTCTGCCTTCCTTTGTAACCAACATAAAAATATGAGTATATCACTGAACAATTTCTTTATGGCTTTATTTATTTATTTTTCAACAAGTGAGGTTTTGGGAATGGTGCTGTGGTGCAGCGGGTTAAAGCCACAGCCTACAGTTCTGGTATCCCATATGCACACCAGTTTGAGTCCTGGCTGCTCCACTTCCAATCCAGCTCCCTGCTAAAGCAACTGGGAAAGCAGTGGAAAGTCCCTTTAGCCATGTGGGAGACATGGAAGAAGCTCCTGGCTCCTGGCTTTGGATCAGCTCAGCTCCGGCCACTGCGGCCATTTGGAGAGTGAATCAGCAAATGGAACACCTCTCTCTCTCTACCTCTCTCTAACTCTGCCTTTCAAATAAATAAAACAAAGCTTAAAAAAAAGAAGTGGAATTTTTTTCTCATTGAATGTGGAATACAAGCACAAGAAAATCGTGATTCAACTTAATGTCTTGCTTACATTGACCTTTACCTCCCAATTTAAATTTGGTTTTTGAAGTACACATTGCTATTACTGGATATCAACTAATGCAAAGCCAAAGGACATGGAAACTTCGACACAGACACTGAAGTGCTGTAGTTCCATTTCCTGAAGTTGATGGTCTGATATACTAATCTCTAAACAAGGTGGTTGCACTTGACTCCTCCCCTTTCCATTCCTTTTCATGCCCTCTACCTCCTTCTTAGACACAGATGTTTGCTAAATTCAAGTCATAAAACACTGACCCGTGTGTATTAAAGGTTCATGATATTTTCAGTAAACTCCTTTCAAACAGTTAGTGACTACTTTTGGGGATCCCCTAGCAACCAATTCCAGTACTTTCACAGTTTCAGATTACCTAACATCCTCCTATTTCCACTCTTCTATGTTAACATGCCTTCAAGAATAACCTGCCCTGGTCTCTACACCAAAATGTCCCTTATGGTAGGCTTTGTAAGTTGTGGCTTATGACTTGGTTCTCAGGGATACTACGATGTAGATTATCACTTTCTTCTTCATCTTGTCTTTTTCTTCTACCCCACTACAAGCAAATTAAATTATCTGCTTTTCAAAATTTTATTTATTTTTACTATTTCAGGAATTTATTAGTACATTGCATCACAGCAAATGCATAATTATAATTCTCATGTTAATATGAAGATTCAATGTTAAGAGAAGATTCAGTGTAGTTCATAAATAAAATTCTAATATCTTTCAAACTTTCACAAATGTTTTATAAATACTGACAAACATAAACAATGAACCTCAGAAATGGTATTTTCTGCCAGTTGCTTCAGTTTCAAATAAAAAATAACATTAAATTCTTCATGTCACATCATGAGAAGCAAAACAAACAGAAAACTCCAGAATATATATTTGAAAACCTGTTTAGTGACTGCTATTTAAAAATCATATTTGATTTAGAATTACCAATATAATTTTAAATGTTAAAATATAATTCTACAACTTTATACTAGAAATTTTAAATGAGTTTTTGACAAAAATGCATTAAAATAAAATCAAATTTTTTAATTTTCTGCCTAAAGAGAGAATCAATTAACTTGACCATATAATTATTATTATTATTATAGGTAAAGGCATAACTTACAAAAGTCAAAATTAATTTGAAAAATTCTAATTTTGAAAGCCTACAGAGTGACAGACGATCCCTGCACATTTTCAATCTAAAACAGTTGTTTAATCCCAACAACAATCTCCGTTATTTTTTGAATAATTAGAAAAGTGAAACCAATTTTGTAGTGAAATAAGATTATTCCAGAAATAAAGACACACGTTACCTGGAACAATTCCCACAGTCTAATACCCCACTGAACGATTTGCTGTCATTATCGAAGAAATACTGGGTTTGCTCAGTGATGCAGCTCTGCTTTGACATGGAGGCAGTGAAGTCGTCATCCTCCATATCAGCTGTAGGGAGTCAGAACACAGACCACTGTCACCAGCGGACACTGTCGTCTGTCCCCCAGAGCCTTCATCTCTCCCAGAGCAAAGTCAAAACAGAAGGCAAAACCCTTGACTGTAATATGAAGAGAACCCATAAAAGGTACCCAATAAATATTATTAGAGTAAATGAACTCAACTACAAACAGCTACAAAATAGAGGCCACATGGCCTAAGGAAGTTTCTAAAACATTAAGAAATATTTGACAAAAAAATTCCACCTTGCAAGAGTAGGAGATGGATGGACCCTGTGTCTCACACATACACATCCACCCATGCACATACACATTCTCTTTGAGTTTGTTAACTCAGCACATCAAAAAAATTTTTTTTGATTGTTAATTTTTACAATGACAATAGCTGAGTCTTCACATACCTGCCTCAAGGAGCCGTGGAAAAGTCAAACTCAACAGAAACTGCTGAAGAATAGACCTGAATTTAAAAAAAAAAAATTGATAAAAGGCTACACATTTTCCTTTATAAACATTACAATGAAAACCTGAGTATTTTTACTTGCTTACATATATACATCTTTTTGGGAGAAATAAAAAATTTAGGAGTATATTTATGTAAGTTTTCATAAATTATACAAAACATTGCAACCATCTTCTTAAATCTGTAAATGAGGTCATGAAGTTAGTGTTCAGGAGGAAGTGGAGGAGGGGCCCTACTATACACTACTAAGCAGAAGTAGTTAATTCTTGGAGGGAGAATGCTAATATTTCTGGGTGCGGATTTTTACATCCATGGTTTCTTATTTGAGTTTTAAAAATTTTGTGGTGGAAAGACAAAGAAAACATAAATGACCTTACGCCATGGATTTGGGCTTGTGGACTACGAATTGTTTTATAATATAGAATTTATTTGTAGATAATTAATGTGACATTCAAGAAATTAGTACACATAGAACATGTCACCTTTCATTTTAATATCAGTACAGAATCACTGGAACTGAATTTAGTTTTAAAAAGGGGGGGAGATGGAGGCAGAATGGAGACTTTAGCCATAAAAGAGGATAAAGACAATCAAGTATTTCAGAATCACCATGAGATTTGAAAAACTTACTTAAATGCAAACACAAAAAATTACTCTCGAGCCAGAAAACCATTTTTGAGGGAACACAGAATTTTTAATGTCAAAGATTGCTGATTTAGTAAAATGATACAGTCACACTTAAATTTTATCTTAAAGAAAAGCCTCACTTTTTAAATGAATGTTATAATTTAACCTACAAGGAATAAGGGTAGGATAACACGGCAGGGCGATGATACAGAAAGGAAGGAGGAGAGAGGGAGGGAGGGAGGACAGGAAGGTGGGAAAAGATGCCAGACTAGAGATGAAGCCCAGCTACTTGACTGACCAGAACTGCTCAGTGAGAACTCTGACCTTCCAGACTTCACACAGTGCCTCAGGAAACAGTTCCAATGTCTTATTCCCACAGGTGGTGGGGCACAGGTCCGGTGAGGGAGGTAGAGAGGGCGGGACAGTGAAAAGAAAGGACTGGATCCTTTTCAGCAACAACTACCTCTAAAACTACGCCAGTCCTGGATTTAATAGTAAAGAGGCAGCATGAATTTGACCAACGTGGACAACTATTTCAGAAATTAAAAACGAAATACTTAGGGATTTTTTTATGGATCACTATGCTTAAAATGGAAGAAATTAAGTATCATACAAAGGGAAGAAAGAGTTTCAGCACATCCATAGAGAAAGGAAGTTTCTAAAAGTGGCTAACATTTACACGAGCATAACATTGTTTTCATATAAAAAAACAGAATAACTACAAGTACTACAGTGACCACTTAAGAAACAATTCATAAACACGACCTGTGTTTCCTCTAAGAAATGACAAAGCTATTCTCATAATAACAACTTACATGTCACAAAACCCACATTTTTATCAAATACTTTACCATTTCCATTTCATGCATTCTCTCACTACCTGCAAACAAAAACTCTGACTTACCAGGCAGCAGCAGTGGCCCACCATCCAATCTGCAGTATGTCTGCTATTGATGGCTATAAAACATAAAAAAAGATGACGTTACATCCACCTGCACTTGAGGACCCCTTTGAGATGGGCTGATCTGACGGAAGCACTACTGACCACATAAGCCGAGCGGTGCCCTGCTCCCTGCTTTGGCGCAGCACCAGGTTCACACACCGACTGATAATCATAAGATTTGTTAAAGGCATAAACTGATATATTGACCAGGTGTCTCATCAAGCTTGGATCAATCTCTCCAAAGAATCTTCCAATCTGATATAAAGAAAAGAATCATAAAATAAACTTTCAAATTTAAACCAGATGTGAATACCTAAATCAATACAGTGAAAAGAAATATGAATAAAATATGAACTAAAACTCAGGAGTTTAAAAAACAAAAGCAATGGAAAATCTGCATTTGTCACCATGAAAGCACCAAAATGAGATTAGGTATTTTTCTGCTTGATATTATTTTTGTGGAAGGAATGGACACAATTCATCAATTTCAATAATGTTTGAAGAGGTACTGCAATGTTGATCCTACTTTTCTCTTACCACACGTACATACCTGATTGGTATAATCATCATGGTTGGCCATCAAAAGAAACCCACCGTCATCTAGAATCACACAATCCATTACCTATCAAAAGAAAAGTCTGCAGTCAAGACATCTGGGTTAAGAGGCTACATTATCAAATGACTCCGTTATACAATTACAACAAAAATAGGAGAAAAATCCACATGACTGTATCTTCTCTTGAACACACGAGGGTATTTTATATTGTTCATGGAAGGGGCCGGCGCCGTGGCTCACTTGGTTAATCCTCCACCTGTGGTGCTGGCATCCCATATGGGCGCCAGGTTCTAGTACCCGCTGCTCCTCTTCCAGTCCAGCTCTCTGCTGTGGCCCAGGAGTGCAGTGGAGGATGGCCCAAGTGCTTGGGCCCTGCTCCCACAAGGGAGACCAGGAGGAAGCACCTGGCTCCTGGCTTTGGATTTGCACAGCACCGGCCGTAGCGGCCATTTGGGGGGTGAACCAATGGAAGGAAGACCTTTTTCTCTGTTTCTCTCTCTCACTGTCTATAATTCTACCTGTCAAATAAATTAAAAAAAAAATTGTTCGTGGAAAAAGGAATTCAAAGACAAGCTTGTCTTGGTGTACACAATTTTGAAATCTGTGCCTAGAAGGAGTCCTCAAAAAGTTCACGGAAAATACATGTTGTGAAGAAATTATGCACAGATTTCAACAATATCTTCAAAAGAAATTAATCATTGAATTCTAGTTCTGCATGAAGTTTCTGAGTGCTCTCATTTATTCAGATGATTCCAATGCTCATATTCCTATCAGACCACCAGGGCTTGGTAATACATGGCTAACTAGTAAGACTATCAACTGATTCAGAATAAATCAGAAATAGTTTTAGCACTTCAAGGTCATCTAAATGATCCAGGAAATGATACAGACTAAAATATTTAATCATGTATAATTTTGTTATTTCAAACACAGTCTTGATTTTTTATAAAAATACAGTTAAGTAACATTTTAAGAAACATACTTGACTGATTAAAGAAAGAAAAGCAAGTAGGATAAAACACTATATTTTTACATTAGAAATGTTTGGTTAGATAATTAGAGGTCTGAAAGCAGAAAGCAAAACAAAAAATACAACTGAGAAAAATATTTCATTGACCTTGAAACAGGGAATATATTACCCAATTTAAATCATGCATGAAAATCAATTTACACTGTTTTCAGAGTTGAGAACATATATATTTTCCTATGTAAGTGAATACCACCCATATTGACAACACGTTATGCTTTGCCTTCCCATAATATGAAACTATTTTTTAAAATAGAAGCATTTAAAGTTAGGAATTAAAAGCATATAAGTTAAAATTCACTTATATTAATGAATTTACATATCCACAGATTTTAGCATTTGATTAAAAATTCTCACACCTTTTTCTTTTTTATCATGAAACGCTTAGTTAGAGTAATATAAGAACATAGCAGTTAAAAGACATTTAGTAAGAAGGTTCTTACATCACTGTTTCGTTTGCAGTCACAAACTGGACCAGCACACTGAAAGATAGAAATACAATTATCATCTCATGTGTTTTTTTAAGTTGGATTTTAACTATATCATATCACATTAGTTACTACAGTTATAATTAAAAGTTTTGGAATAATTAACTTAATATAAAAATAAAAATAAATAACAGTCTAGTCTGTAAGAAAATAATTTTAACATTAGAAAATACCAGTCAATAAACAGAAAAAGTAGAATTTTAAGTTATAAAAAAGAAACATATTTCAAGGTTATAATTTATTAATTGATCAAACAAAAAATCATTGAAAAAACAGAATTCATAACTTTGCTTCAATGTAGGGTGTTGAAAATTTATTTTGCTGCTCTATAAGGACCTTACCTGTAGATTTCTTATTTTATTTTGAGAATAAGTGTAGCATAAGAGGTTTTAAAAAACTATCTTACCGGATCCCTGATTGAAGTTTTGGTGAAATTCTCTATCCAAGAATTTACATCAATTTTAATTCCAACAACTGAAAAATTAAAGATAGAAATGGATGTAATACAATCTTTGCTATATGACATATTAGAAAATTTATACAAAAGCAAAAAATGTTGGAGTGAATAGTTATTGTAGATTTTTGGGGGGAGCTCTTCATTAAGGAACGATGCTAATTGTTCTTGAACTATTACATCATCAATCATTTATATTCACAAAACAATTTATTTATTGGCCACACACTGGCCAATTATCTAATACAGTAAGCTAAAATAATAATAGTGATAATAATAGTGATAATAATAATATCAAAGATAGCCTCATAAATATGACTTCAATCAAGCGGTGTATTTTAAGAAGCTTCCCTAATCCCCTCGCACGTGTAACAGGCTGAGAGAATAACTGGTAAACGAGCAACTGAGGGAAGGAAGGAACAGGTGTGAGTTGTGAGTGATGGGGTGAACCAAATACTTGAACCACTGATGGGATAAAACTGCCCTCTGAAGTAGGATGGTCATCACTCATCCATCTGGCCTCCATAATATTATGCTTTTTTTCTAAACTTTCAGTAAAATTAAATCATATAATGAAAAAAAAAAAAACCAAGTTTTTACTTTATTGTATTCACCCACCTCAGCTGACTTCCACTTCTAATGTTTAATTTTATTATGTATTTTCACTTGCTTATTTAATTTTTACCAAAAAGTCATTTTTCTATAATTTGCAAGTTTTTAACAGATCCCTTCCTAATCTTCTCTGATAGGACTCTATAGAGTACCTATGCCATAATTTATGTTCTCCCCCAGTGACCGAAGTTTAACTTTCTATCTTTAAATTATTACAAATATTTATGTCCTTGGCCATGTTGCTTTATTATTTATTTGAAAGTATTAGGAGAGACTTCTCTAGTGGAATTCCTAGATCAACCCAATGTTTTAAGTTGTGCATTTAAAATCCTAATATATTATGTTAAATGGATTCCATAAATTTTTGTTGATTATATATAAAAATACTTCTTAAATTCTTCAGCCCTTTATAGTATCAATTTAATTTTATCCCCAATTTGATAGATAGCAAAATTACATATTTTTTCAGTTTGCATGTCTGACATTATTTTGTTTGAGGCATTCACATGATGTGAGATTATAGTGTAGATGTCAGGTCACATTTAATTTTGATTGTGTTTATGTGTATAGTGTGTGTATGCTTACCTGCAGGTTTAAGAAGTTTTCCTTGGATATATATTTCTACAGCTTTGCTTACCATAATGCCTGACTCATAGGCCCCAGGTCCACTTTCTAAAAGAAAAGAAAGAAAACAGACTTATCTAGAAGATACAGTGGATAACAATATTAAATTTATATCAATAGATACAGATGGATAGTGTTTTACTTAAAAATTATAGATTATACAACACATAAAGAGATGCATGGTTCCTTCTTCCTCTCTTCTTTCTTTATATACCAACCAAGCTACTTGGAATATCCATGAATTGTTGTGTATTAACTGATTTGGAGACAGGAATTACCTAGTTTGGTTTAATCTAAATCTGCAACATAATGCACACACATCAAATCTTGGCTTTCTACCATCTGCCAAAATGCTGGGGCAGCTGCAGAAGTAAAGAGGAAAAAAGTAAACAGGAAAGACTGGTTTTGGGTGCCTAAAACTGGTGTTACTTTTTATAATGTAGATGTTCCTGGACACAGCTCTGAAATTCTCTGAACTGCAGTTGCCCCCACCCCTTTTTATTTTATTTGAGAGGCAGAGTTACAGACAGTGAAAGGGAGAGACAGAGGTCTTCCATCCACTGGTTCACTCCCCAAATGGCCACAATGGTCAGAGCTGCACTGATCCAAAGCCAGGAGCTTCTGGGTCTCCCATGCAGGTGCAGGGGCAAGCACTTGTCCATCCTCCACTGCTTTCCCAGGGCATAGCAGAGAATTGGATTGGAAGTGGAGCATCCGGGACTCGAATCAGTGCCCATATGGGTTGCCTGCACCACCAGCAGAGGATTAACCTACTATGCCACAGCACAGCCCCAATGCAGTTGTCCCTTTTGTGAAAATGGGGGTAAGTAAGACCTATTCCCAGAGATGTTAAGGAGTTAAATTAGAAAGATGTTTTGGAAATAACTCAACAGAATATTTTTAGTATTTTATAAATATTACAGTATGTAATTAATACTGATAAAATATAATTAATCAGTTACTCTATTTTATTTAGTTCATTAAGCATTCTTCCAATATATTTTTCAGCTGTGCCATGAAGGATGCCCTACATGTATTTCTATTTCCTATGCATGCCTGTTAGAAATGCTACCTTTGCGCGACTGCATAATTGCATGCTGTGTTAGAATTTTATCTCTTCAACTAAATGGATGCTTCTTTTCTATTTTTCTAATGCCTCGCATATAAATGCAGGCTTTTGAAAGTCATTTTGATCAGTTAACATAAAATATATTGATGTGGGAGAAAGCAGGTAGCAGCAATAATTTATTTTTGAAAAAGTAATTGAGGAAGCTGAATTCCAAAGCAATACTTACTGTTAAAGTAGGGAGCAGTGAAAACGTAGTTATCATTATCGAGGCTCCTTTTATAGAAGCTGTCTTCATATGTCTCTGGGTTTTCCTGCCAATTTTCTCCAGCCCTAAGGAGGAAATGGCTCATCATTCATATTCTTTAATCTACCTGATAACCTACTTTTCCCTTGGTGGACACATTGAGCTCTACAGATAACGTCTACATCTCAGGTGTATCTAAGGAAGTTAGTGCTAGCTGACAGTGGAACTGATACTACTAAGCAATACATCAGAACAGTATCAAGAGTCAGAAAAACTGACTCCTAGTCTTACTCAGCTGTTTACTATCCAGGTAATTATAAACAAGACCAATTAGTATTAGTAAGTCTTGGTGCTTCCTTGGTCCACTTCTGACCATTACAGAGAAAGATACATCAAGGAACACTGGAAACAATGGCATGCTATACAAATCCTGCTAATAGTCTAAATCATTATGTTAATCTAATTAGTTTGGGCTTATGTCCACGAAGAGAAAATTCTCTTTAAACATCTTGTAAACATTTTAATAAATAAATAAATATATATATATAAATACCTAAATCATTGAAAAAATCCTAAGATTCCATTTTTCAGAATGGAGTATTTTAATACTGCAAATTCTTGACAATGACACCAGTGCAATCTACAAATGATGATCAATTTCTCTGGAGAATGGTTTCTTAATACAGGAATGCACAGATCTTGGTACGGTTTTTCTAATGCACTTACTTTTACAGGTGTTATTTGAACTTACTCTTTGGGATAAACTCTGGTAATCCCACCATCAGTCACAACAAACCGTGCTTTCACTCCCTTGCTGGAACACATGAAAAGAAGATTTTTTTTTTCCAAATTGAATTTATCCTAACATATTAACTTAGGTATTGCTGAAACTAAAAGAAATAAAGCAAGTTCCTGAAATAAGGGAAGCCAAAGTAAACACACCAACTGATGCAAAACTATGCCTTAATAACTGCAGTATCTATGAAGTAAGTCCTTAATAGGAGGCTGCTTAAGGAAGGCTCCTCAGGAAATGAAGATGAAGCTACATTTTGAAGACAGAATGGGACTTAACCAGCATGACAGAAAACAGAAGATGTCACTGTAGAGTGAGAAGCATATACAAGGGAAAAGTAGTGAAGAGTGCTGGTATTTGGTGCATTGAAAGCATATGGGAGAAATGGTAGCAAGCAAATTTTAAATACAAGTTTCTTTTTTTTTATTTTTTATTTATTTATTTATTTATTTATTTTTTATTTTTTGACAGGCAGAGTGGACAGTGAGAGAGAGAGAGACAGAGAGAAAGGTCTTCCTTTTGCCGTTGGTTCACCCTCCAATGGCCGCCGCGGCCGGCGCGCTGCGGCCGGCGCACCGCGGCCGGCGCACCGCGCTGATCCGATGGCAGGAGCCAGGAGCCAGGTGCTTTTCCTGGTCTCCCATGGGGTGCAGGGCCCAAGCACCTGGGCCATCCTCCACTGCACTCCCTGGCCACAGCAGAGGGCTGGCCTGGAAGAGGGGCAACCGGGACAGAATCCGGCGCCCCAACCGGGACTAGAACCCGGTGTGCCGGCGCCGCAAGGCGGAGGATTAGCCTAGTGAGCCACAGCGCCGGCCTGATACAAGTTTCTTAAGAATGAGTAGCTCATAATTGATTTTGGAATACACAAACATGCTTATTTAATTTGGTTTATTTACACCAAAGGGTATACACATGGAAAGCCGAGAAACGACAGGTATTAATACTGAAATGTACCCACAATTGAAAATGCAAGTTCTCCACAATTGTAAAATGATTTTGAGATTCTCAAGGAAAGGCTAAATTCAAAGGTAGAATATCTATTTTTATTAATAAGAACAAATACTTACATATTCTTCTGCTTACTCCAGTAATTTTGAACAAGTTCATTTGTAAAGCCTGCATCCAGCAAGACTCTATTAATCAAGTCTGTATTACCTAACACAGAAAAAAGGTATCTTTAATTATACTCACATACTTCTTTAAGACAGTAATGAAACAATTATATTTTCTAGCTCCAAAAGCAAGTTAGAGTGAATATTCTTATTAATTCAAGAACATATTCTGTATTCATATTCTAATTTTTCTAAATTTCTAATTTTCTAGATTTCCAATTTTAATTGAGAGAAATATATAACATAGGGGTATAACACTGTCAAAGGAAAATGTAAAAATGAGCTAATGCCTATAAAATGATCTCTAATTAAAATAATTATAAATTCTCAATTCTTTACATATAATCATCTCAAACATTTCCTACTGAATTACAGTGGAGGCAGACAAATGGTGATGAGAAATAAAAAGATGGGAACAGACAACACAAGTATGAATTACACTGGAAATACTATTTTTAAACATATTTAGACTTCTCCAGAAACTAGAGGCAGTGAAAAATCTTTTTCACACATTCTTTTGAATGACTGCAATTTTCATGGTATTCTGAAATATTTACGAAAAACTCATCTTTGCAAGGAGTATGAAAGTGTTATATAATTTTGTATCCAATTAAAAAATATTCTACAATCCTATATTTTAGTTCTCACTTGGAAATGCCTATCAATTATTAACAGGAAATAAACATTGACATAAAATAACTGCTCAGAGAAAGTACACAATGAGTAGAAAAGTTTAGAATTATGCCTAGTGTAGACCAGCTACCCATGACTGGCTTTCGAAGTGGTTTTGAAGCCACTAGCTAATTCCTGCCAAAGTGGAGGCTCTGTGAAGACATTTGTTCTCCTATGTGAGAAATCTAAACTTCAGAGGCAGCTTTAGAAAAAGGTTTTTGTTTTTGATAATAAAGTGCTTTGTTTAGTGCTTCCTGATAGATTTTTAAAAAAGAAAGAAGGGAGGAAAAGAGACAAGGGACAGGGAGGAAGACAGAGAAAACAAAAAGTCAATTAGATGTATTTGCTCTTTTTTTTCCTTCAAATTATATCCACTAAGGTAAATTTGAATTTACTTGGTTTTCCTCTCTTGATTTCCATTAAACTGCATTTGTTCCTGACAGTGCTTTTACAATAAATATTTTTAGGAAAGAAATGTTTAGATTTTTAAACATGTTAAAATCCAAAAATCCATAAATCTCTATGAAGTCTCATAGTTTGAATGATGCACATTTATCTGAAAGACAAGTATAGTGCTTAAAAATGAGAGACTAAAATTTGGTTCTCTAGCTGAACTTTTTTACTCCATAAATTGGGAAATAACAGCTTGTTTTTTCTTTTGAAGATAAATACTTTACTGTGATCAAAAACAGACTGTCAGAAAGAAAGAAAACATTAAGTGATATATCTTTATATTTTTGTTTCTTATTCTACGCATGTTAAGACTCATACAGGCCAGCGCCGTGGCTCACTAGGCTAATCCTCTGCCTTGTGGCACTGGCACACCAGGTTCTAGTCCCGGTCGGGGCGCCGGATTCTGTCCCGGTTGCCCCTCTTCTAGGCCAGCTCTCTGCTGTGGCCCAGGAGTGCAGTGGAGGATGGCCCAAGTACTTGGGCCCTGCACCCCATGGGAGACCAGGATAAGTACCTGGCTCCTGCTATTGGATCAGCGTGGTGCGCCGGCCACAGCGTGCTGGCCGCGGCGGCCATTGGCGGGTGAACCAACGGCAAAGGAAGACCTTTCTCTCTGTCTCTCTCTCTCATTGTCCACTCTGCCTGTCAAAAAAAAAAAAAAAAAAAAAAAAAGACTCATAGAAATTTATATGTTCCTCTACATAGCAGGAGCAATTAAGAAATCTTCAAAAGATAACACAAAATTAAATATCCTAAATTTGAGAGTAGTTAAGGAAAGCATACCCTGTTTACATTTAGCTATTGCAAATATATATATTACTATGTTTTGAAAACTTGATTTCATTTAATGATGAAATGTCATTTCTTTCATATATAAAATTAAGGCTCAAATTATTTTGCCGTTAAAAAGTCATGCAGTAAATAAATCACAACACCAACAAACTAACATGATTATAGTAACATGATACAATAATGCAAAGACTTCAGGCCTTTTGGATATAACTGGACCGAAGCAATTGTTGCGAATTAATACATACTTACAGGATGGGTTGTTTGGAGTTTTTCTATCAATAAACTCATTGAAATTTAAAAGAAATTCAGTGTTATTATCTGAAGGTTTAAGGTCACTGCAGTAATCTCTGGGGGGAAAAAGTATATTTTAGGATATTAGATTCTAAGATCAAATTTTTACAGTATATCTGGAGGTACTAAAAACAGTTTGATATTTCATGCTGCTGATTATTAATTGAATATTAACAATGTTAATGAGAACTTACTGTATTTAAGATACTGGTAAACAAAAAGTTGTACTATTTTATATACTAACAAATTATCTTTTAATTCCTAACTTAAGAGAAGACACATATGCATCTGTACCCAATAAGTTGCAAGATTTTGTTCTGGCACATGAAGAAAAATGTCACCATAGAGATAGGCAGTTGAAAAAAAAGAGAGCTGCTTTAACAGTCTTTTTGCATATTGTGTCTACGTATTTTGCTAACACATCAAAACTTGACTATTCAGGGATAGAGAGAGGGCACCATGAGAGAGAAGTAAAATTAGGAGGAAAAATCATGTTCATTTGAAAAAGTATGTGAGTCAATGTAACTGTATTAAGATTTTTGTTTTCAGGGCTGGCACCTGTCTCAGTGGTTAAGTCCCTCTATGAAACGCCCCTGTCCCATATCCCAGTGCCTGGGTTTAATTCCCAACGCTGGCACCTGACTCCAGTTTCCTGCTCACACAGACCATGCGAGGTAGGGGTGATGGCTCAATTAGTTGGATTCTAGCCCTTTCTTGACTCTGGGCTTCCCAGTCACTCCTGGCTGTTGAGGCCATGTGGGAGTGAACCAGTGGATGGGAGCTCTGTCTGTCAATCTCTTTTCCTCCTGCCCTCTACCTTTCTGTTTCTCTGCATCTCAAATTTGACAAATTAATAATAACAAACTAAAATGTTTTCCCATACAGTTGTGCTTGAATATTTAAAAAAAAATCTTGAGGTTCAAACACTGCAGACATACGCTATACATACAGATTTGCCCATAGCTATGTATATCTAAGGGTACAGAGATACACAATACACACTTGCGTATACCAGGGACTTCAAAAAGTTTATAGAAAATGCATATTATGAAAAAACTATGCATATATTTCAAAATTGCACCAAAAGTACACATCTTTCATTTTCCACAAATTTTCTGAAGTAGCAGCTTGTATATATACTCATCAGTGAAAATACAAAATTCTCCATTATGATTACTGTCAGATGGAGTGTTATTGCTACAAGTGCAGAGCCTGTATCTACTTCATTCACCACTGTATATGTGAGTCAGCACACTGTGTAGCACATAGTAATTGCTCAGTAAGTATCTAAATGAACAAACAGAATTCTGTTTAAAGTTGGTTCTATGATTTGACATGGGATTAACACATAGCAGTCTTGACCCCAATTCAGATTGTTGTTGAAGGCCTCCAATGCATACAAGTGCTAAGAAAAAAAAGAAAAGAAAAACCAACCTTGGTGCTAGGAATGTGTAGCCAGATTCTTCAAAATTATCCGGTTTCAGTGTTTCTGAATCTGAAAAGATAATGGCACGGGATTGGAGAGGCAACTCGGAGCATATTTTTGAAATTCTAGGACAGAAGGTACTAAAAGATTGTCTTTTAAAAAATGTAAAATACACTACTTATATCCTAAAATTGAAACACATCAATGAATATTAAGGTCCTCAATGCTTCCCAATATTATAATAAAATCATAACACAGATTAACTTCACAGCATCTGTTGCAATAATTATATCAGAGGAAACACTATAATTTTCCCATTTACTAACCTTACCATAACCAAGATGTCTTTTAAAAAGAGAATATCAATATTACCTAATAGGTATTTTATTTAAAATCTCAGTGTGAAATTTACCAACATTGACAAAGAAAATGATCTTAGCAAGCTCATTAATATCTTTAGTGAATTAATAACATTCTTCATATGAGGTATGAATTAGTAAGTACAAGAGTAAAAAACACCTGTTTTTAATTCTAAGAAAACAACTGGCATGCGAAACAGACTGCATAGGAAACACAAGCATATTCTTCCCCCTTTCTGCTGCCCAGGTCTGAGTGATCATGGAGGAAATCTAGCACATGAGAAGCACGGAGGATAATCCCCAGTAGGAATGGAAATATCAGTGGACTTTTCAAGTGTACTAAAAGAAAGAAATCGAGCAACAAGAAAATACTTGCCCTTCATTTTGCCCTTTTTTGCTGTGAAAATCCATCAGAAAGAGAAAGCAGGGAAACAAAAAAAAAGAGGGTAAAGCAAAAGGGGTCACAAACAATATTTTATTCAATGACTTTCTTGAATAAAAATATTGTGCATAGATCAAAGGTTCATTTATGTACAGCTGTAGTCTGGAGAAAAGACACCTAGGTTTGAAGACTGGGAAGTCTGTCCTGTCCATCATGACTGATTACCCTCTCTGTCCTGTGGTCATTTCTAGGGCCTGTGTTGCGAAGTGATTAATGCAGGTGCAGTACCAATGTCAGGCTATAAACAGAAGCACTTACCTATCATCAAAGACTTCACTAGTTATCCCCTCACATGTATCAAGTAAAGAACTAGCTCATGCAAAATTGCTGGTTGTTAAAAGACCATCATATCTATCAAGTGAAAGTGCAAATATAAATGTTTAATAGATAGCCACAATGGATTATGAGCACCAGGCCTGCAGACAGCAGAACATAACTGACAAAGAAATGAGTATAACTGAAGTTTATTTTAAAGTCAGATGAAAAAGATATGTACTTTTTTGTGTTTTAATTCTTCCTAACAGGAAAAGTAGATTGTCAATAATAATTGAGATGTGCAAAGGATATGATGGTCATTTGACTTCACTAAATTTAGTCACCAGAAACAAAATCAAGATGAATTAAAAGAAATATGTACTATTAACAATTACTCCACATTCCAAATGATGTTTAAAGAAAATAAAAACTAGTCCATTGGAGTTACTGAGACATTAATTTGGATTATGAAAAGAAAGTTAATTGCCAAGCACAGTATTATTCTGGCCAAATGCAAAAGAGAAAAATGAAAAAGAAGGAAAGATCAGAAAAGGAAAAGCTGTATAGTGCCATGACTAGAGAGCATGTTGATAATTAGCATGTGAAACACTCTGCGCCAGCTAGCAGATCCTGAGCACGACAGCTACAGAGGACACAGCACTGCAATGATTCTATGAGCACATAGCAAGGCAGGGAAGGGAGGAGGGGACTGCCAGTGAGACTGGAGTACCTGCTCATATTCTATCCATGTAGAATATTTCTTGTTCCTTGCATGTTTGGAATGGGTTAGAATCATTGCTGCCGATTTGGTAATCACACCTACTAAAATGTAGAAGCCTTGGGTATTCCAAAATCTAGACGTATTTAAACATCTGATACTGGGAGATAACAAATAGAGCCTGGAGTTGCTTTCACAGTACTTACATCTGGCCTGAGTTATTGTCTCTTCTATTTTGGCTTTTATATAGTAAAAACTGTAGGTTGGTAATACCAAGGCCAAACTGCAATAGAAACAAGAGAAGCATAAACACAAACAAACAAAAATGAAACATAACTTAAAAAAAAAGACACATCAAGTTCATGGGAAAATCCAAAGATCTTCCTCATGGAAGGAAAAGACATATTACTTTGACGAGAAAAATGCATTCAGCAAATTGAATCCTTAATTTCAGGCTTGCCATCCAGAGTCATCCGACTGTCTACAGTGTAGGGAGCCAGAGGAGACAAGTGGGAAATAAGCTACTAGATGCAACCATAAATTAGCCGAGGAGGAAATGTCACTGATCCCTACCATATTTGCAGATTATATTTAAATATTTTGAATTTTGACAAAAATAGACGACCACTAGGGGTAGGTTTAAATAAGTACATATATCCTACTAATTGGATGCTCCCTCCTTAATGTGTTATACACACTGTTAAACTGCTTTGCAGCAAACAGACACTATTAAAATACAAATGAAAGAATCATTAACATGAATGACTATTGAACAATCAGAGAGTCATCTGAAATAAACTGTTAAGGGATTACACACCTATGGTTTTAACATTCTAATTGTTATGTAGGTTCCCCAGTGTCTACTGATGGGCAAATCCAGATTCCTTTATAGCACTAATAGAGACTGCTTATACAATTGTTTCTCACTCAGTTATATCACAAGAGCGTGGTATTTGTTTCAAGTTCATTTACTATGGATATTCTCCGTTATCTGGCAGTTTGTTATTAGGCTCAATGGGAAATACATCTTGACTGTGTAATCTGTAAGAGTCATGGGGGTACTCTGGCCTGATGGTAGACAGCCAAGCTGGAGGAGATTTCTAGGGTCAACATTAGCCTGAATTCAGAATGCTTAGACACAAGGAATGTCAGACAAGCCTGTCATCAAATCTCACCTTAGTGACTGCACAAAAATAAGAAGCTATCCTGTAGGTAACTTTCTTTTTGAAATTGCCAATGAACAAAATGCAGGATGTGTGGGAACTGTTAAATGATGTCAGAATATCACGCGGTTTCTAATAACACAAATGTATGTAAGTGATTCTTCTACCCCCAATACTGGCTAGCACACTTGTTCAGGGCATGATTAAGTATTCCACATCCACACGTGTAGTGCAAATGACCTTTGCTAATCATTGAATATAGAAAGAAACCTGTAAGCTGTCTGTGGCAAATATGAGGGTACCTTTAAAATGTACACTATTTCCCAGAAGCCATACTTATTGAATGAGAACTATGGGCGTAATTTGGCAATCACTTTTAATATTTACTCCAGATGTTAGTGTTGCACAGGAAAAGGTGTGCATTTCTAGGCTTCTGAGTATTTCTAGACATTTGCAGATTTTTTTTTTTTAACCACTCAAACCTCATGTATCCCCAGCGTTGGGGATGGATATCCAAACTGTAATTGGGTTATATATTGTTCATGGACAAGATAGAATAGGATGAAATATACAATTTCAGACTTCCTTTCTTATACATATAAATTAAAAATCCACTCTATGTACAGGAAAGAAAAAAGCAGAGGTTTATTTGCTTCAAATTTATTATACAATAAAGATAGCAAAATGAGTGAATGCTTGTTACTTCCAATTCCCAAATCTTTCTCCATCATTAAGTAATTCATCCACTTTCCTTATGAGAAAAGGTCAGGGAAATAAAATGCTACATAGATTTAATGAAGATTTCCACATTAATTTAATGGGTAACACCCTTTAAGTGGAGGCAGAGATGAAAATTAAAAGAAGCAATGTAATCAGTCTGAAAGTAAGATGACCTTTCATGATTCACTTGCCATTTATAGAACGGAGAGCAGAATTACTGAATATCTGAAGATTGCCTCCTACAAATTCCTCTCGAGGGAAATTAGGACACTTTTATGGCTCCATCAGTACTTATTACTAAGAGAAACTTCTAATTGAAACCGATAACAGTATATCATGCAACTGCTACAGTGTCACTCTGCAAGCTTGGGTTACATGTCATGTACCATAAAAAATAGCGTGGAAACCTGTGAGGAACACAACAGAATTTTTAAAATTGGCCTATCAAATATACATTTTGTTGGCTGTAAATCTCAGTTTGTTATTAATAGCTATAATCTTTTGCTATAGAAAAATTCAATTATACTTAATTTAATTATTTCCATCTCAAGTCAAGTCATTTCTTCAACATATTGCCAGATAAGATCTTTACCAACATTCTGACTCAGCAGTGCTGTCACCTGCAGTGCTTGCTGTCTCTCTCTCTCTCTCCATATAAAACCAACAGACCAAGACTGCTTTATTTCCTCTTAAAGGTTAATAAAACAAGTAACCACCAGATGGATGGTACAGCCCATGCAATGTTTCTGTGACTCACATAAACACGGTTACCTGATTTAGACAGACTTATGCCATACTCTTCAACTTAATCATTTATCCCCATAAAAGGAAACAGTTCATTAAAACAGAGAAAGCTTTCTACTAAAATATTGTTTTATCACAAAATATGGTACCTACATTCAGCCAAGGCTTAAAGACACAGAATCACCAGGTACAATTTGGTACTTTATTCATTAAACCAAAGCCTATCTTTTTTTCTACTTGTATGAGATATTTTGTTCTAAATTTTTTATTTGTTGAGTTGGTTTGTCCAGAAATTCAGAGAATTATTTGCAATGGAAGCAGACCTAATCTGGCCCAAAGCTGGAGATTTGGGAAGCTATGCCTGAGAAAAACATGCAAAAGTGGGGATGTCGGGGCCTTTGTAGAGAATGGAGATTCACATGGTGAGAGAAATGGCAGAAATGACAGGGCTGACAGGATGTGTTGGAATTGTGTGATATGAATAGCAGAGCTGAAGACCCCATTTAACTTGGTTGAAAATGGGAAGAGACCAGTGTTTCTGTAAACAGGGATTGACAATGTAAGAACCTGAGAAAAGAACATTAATTTGCCTGTACTATGTGTGTGTACTACCACTGGGGCTGTGAGGGAGGGACTGAGTGGAGAGGCCACTTGGTGAGACAATTTTAAATACCTTAAAGGAGGGTACATGAGAAATGAAAATACCCGCAAAGGTCCCTATCGCATAGTAGGACCAAGGTGCCGCTGACTCACTGTTGGATCAAAAAGATCCAGCTTTTCTAACCTAGAACGTCACCTCAGCAACAAAGGCATGGAACACATTCCCACACAGTGCACAGCCTCTCACGAGACACGGCTCCAAGATCTCTCTCGACGCCTTTTGACAAGTTTATCCCAAAACTTTAAGGTGGCAAGAATCCAGAACAAGGAAGGAAAAAAGATGACTTTTGTGTATACTTGAAGATTGCAGACATGTAGAGAAACGCCGGAAAGGACATCAGAAATAGGAATCCATAGATGGAAAGCAATAAAATTATTGAAGCAGTCATTCTGGTATGTCTCAATAAATCTAAGACTATGTCAAAGACTGAAAGTACAGAAACACTGGCACGCAGTGTGTGAAGACAATGCTGGGTACTCTCTCACCTTCAGTACTACGTGCATCCTAGGAACACAAAAGGAGACAGGTTCCTGCGAGAACAATCTGCAGCTCAAGGAAACCCCTAGCTCTAGGAAATTTGCAAGCTCATCTAAAAAGTTATTTATATTTTCTGGGGAGTTGGTTTTATTTTATTAGGAGAGGAATCGCTGATTCCCCCACAGTATACTAATTAGGTTACATATTAAATGCAGATCAATATGTAGTCAAAGGTACCTCCACTCTTTCACACTGCAATAGAAGTTCTGGACACCACTGAATGAAACTGACAAGATGAGACAGATTGAAAATTCCTCCAATATGAAAATTTTCAACTTCTTCATAACTGAAATAGCTCAATTCTGTAGATATTTGCAGACTGCCTATTACGAGCCACTGTCTTACAAGCTGGAGATTCAGAAGTAAAGAGAGCAGGCAATAATCCCTATCCCTCTGAGAACTCAGAAGTGAGAGAGGACCACTGAGAGTCAGTGCAGGTAAGTTTCTATGTACAAGCTCTGTGTGTGTGGTGTGCCAAGGGTTATGGAAAACATGAACCAGGAGGATTTAGATAGGCTTGCTGGAGATGGCCTTGGAGAGGAAACAGAAAGTGTGTGAAGCTCTGAACAAGATGAGGGAATGACAAGGTCACTCTGGGCAGAATTGCAAGTACAAGGGCCTTAAAGAGGAAGGGTACCAGTGTTCACGAGGATTAGCAAGGAAGACAACATGGCTTAACCAGAGCAGATTCAGTGCAGCATCTGGAAGATCAATTACAAGAGCTAAGGGTGAGTGAGGCCAGCTGATTTAAGCACTGGTGGCCATGACCCTGTCCTTTTATGCTAAATGTGACAGCAAAAGTTTGGTAGGGGCAGGGGGCAGGGTGAGAAACGAAACAGAGTAACTCAAGTGTTAAGATCATCCTTGCTGTGGTGTGGAAATCAGGAGTAGAGATGGAAGATGGACATAAGGATGTAAGTACTTAGGCACAGTGGGAGTGGGACTTCCCTCTGACCACTTCTGCTTTTTTTTCTCAGTAAAATGGGAAGCAAAAAAGATGTCACCTGAGAGAAGATGGAGGCAAAGGGTTGTAGGCTGGCAGAAAGAGAAGCCATCCAAAGTAACCGAGAAGCACCTCAAACTTACTGTTACAGAGTTCACCACGCACCACTGAACTAGCTCACCTGCAGTTAGATGGCATGAATTTCAGGGGATATACCAGTCAGTGAGTATTTTCTTTAGGCACTTTTAGCTAAAAGGACAGGTACTGGTGTGGAGCTGGTCATTATTTGAAGATAACCAGGACTGGCACTGTGCCCCACTGGTTTGCCAAACCTGAATGTGATGAAGGGAGTGGACAGAGTGTGCAAGTGAATCGACGCAATGAGACCCAAGAAATTGCTGCAGAATAAGGAGGCATGAAGTCATGCAGAGGGCAAGGCAGCGACAAGTTAGAAGGGACAGAGGGGTTTCACAACTCAGTTGAGTCAAAGCGCTGTTGGAACTGGGCTGTTAGTGGAGCAGATGGAAAACTATCTGGTAATCAGAGAGTTATGAGCAAACCTCAAGTTTAAGATGATGTTGCAGCTCTGACACTGTGAGAGCTGGAGAACATCACTTCAGAACAGGTGGCTAAGTTAGGGGCGTGGCAAGATCATTACATAGTATGGGGATTTTTTCAATATTTATTATTCCTAATGTAAATATACAGATTTTTATCATGCATAGTTTCACTTCTAAATTTTATATTCACAGTTTCTATCTTTGCCATTCTGAAAATCAGACTCCAAACTTCAATACAACTTATATTGCAAAGAATAATTTTCTTGTTGAAAGTTGCATTAAAAATTACTTAAGAACACCTAAAGATGATATTCACTCATTGGAGAATGGACCACTAAAGAGTAAAGACAGACACTTAACCAAGCACTTTTCCCACATTGTACCTATCAGCATCATTAATTACCTATAATCTGTGCCGTTGACAGGAGTCCACGTGTATGTCCTGTTTCCTTTGTCAATATATCTCTAGAAAAAAGTATGACATGGTTATCACTGCCTTACATTCTTTTTCAAAAGCATTTATGGCTTTCATATTCCCACAAATTACAGCGTTGAGCATAAATTTAAGAAGCGAATCTTTAATCCCAATTTTAAACATTTCACTAGTACCATTAAAATCTACAATAGATAAATAAATGAGGATATGCATATATGCATTAAAGATTTGACTATTTATTCATATAATTAAAAATTGTTTTTGATGCATGCATGTACTTCTTAGCAGAGTAGTTGGATTCCTAGAAGACATGACCATGAGAAAAATGCTTAAAAATTAATTTGAGACAGGTTTTGGGTTAAAATATTCAACAGGGTACATGTGAAGACAGTTTCCATGGGAAACATTTCATTTGTGTGGAATTTAAAATTACTTGGAAACTCATTGCGCCAAGCGTTGTGACATGTGGTAAGATGGCTTTTCCTATCTCATAGATACAGAAAATGATGTAAAGAAAAGTTACGTGATTTCCTACAACAAAAATTACGTGCTTCACAATTAATTTCTGACCTCAGCCTATTGAAATTGCTTCTTTGGGTAAAACTACACCAAATCCCATTGTAATCTGAAAGACGCATCACATCTTAAATGTCTCTACCAAATACCACAATAGGATAAACAGAGATAAATTCCCTGTTAAGATAGAATCTTAACATCAGAGTAATATGGGCGGGTGTTGTACAAGAGGTTAAACATTGCTTGCAATGCCTGCCTGCCATTTTGGAGTGCCAGGGTTCAAGTCTTGCCTCTGTTTCCTGTCCAGCTTCCTACCACTGCATACTTTGGGAGGCAGTAGGAGATGACTCTACTTGGGTCCATGCCATCTACATGGGAATTCCAGATTCTACAATTGAATTCCAGACTCCTGCCTTTGGCTTGGCCCTGCCCTAGCTGTTACAGCCATTTGTAGAGCAAACCAGCAGATGGAAGATACCTTCCCTCTTTCATTCTCTCTCTCTATTCTCAAATAAATGAAAATAAATAAAAACTTGAAGGAATAACATGCATGTGTAATGTTGTAATTATTTTAATCGTCTATAAAATATACAGTGAGGAGCAGCAATTTGGCTCAGTGGTTAAGACATGAGATAAGATGCTTGTGTACCACATGAGAGAGCCTGGCTCTGACTCTTGAACTCCTGGTTCTAGCTTCCTGCCAATGAAGACTCTGGGAGGCAGCAGGTAATGGCTCAACTGATTAGGTTCCTGTCACACATGTGGGAGACCTGGACTGAGTTCCCAGCTCCTGGTTTCACCTTGGCTCAGCCCTGGCTGTTGTGGGCATTTGGAGAGTGCACCAGTGGATGTGAGCTTTTTTCTGTCTATCTTTCCCTCCCTATATCTGTCTTTGTCTCTCAAAAATAAATAAATAAATAAATGATACTGATAAAAACTGTGTTCATTCACAGAGTAAGTAACAACTTTCCTTGAAATGCAGAGACAAAGACACAGAAATGCGGAGGGGGAGCCACGGAGGAACGGAAGCTGAGCAGCTGTATTTACTGAGGACAGCGTGCTCAAGAGCAAAACCCAAAGGGTCAGAGATGGAAAAGAGCCTGCAGTTGAACAGTGGTCAACAAAAGCAATTTACAGTAAACTAGCAGAGGGAAAATAGCAATGCGAATTAGTAGGGAAAAAACTTACTTTGTAAGTTGAGGAAAGAATACTCAAGGCCAAAGAGTTCTTATACTGAAATGGCCTGAGAAGTTGGTAGAGCCTTTCAGTGGCTTCCAACCTTCTTAGGGAGTGGGGCTGTAAGCAGCAGGGCTAATGTCTAAGGAAACAGAGCTGACACTTCAACAAGGACTGGAATTTATATACCTCCCCTTGTACTCTGGTACTGGGAACTCATAATGATTTTTTTTACAGATTTATTTATTCATTTCCAAGTCACAGTTACACAGAGAGGAGAGGCAGAGAGAGAGAATCTTCCATCTGCTGGTTCAGTCCCCAATTGGCTGGGAGTCAGAAGCTTCTTCCGGGTCTCCCACAAGGGTGCAGGGGCCCAAGGACTTGAGTCATCTTCTACTGCTTTCCCAGGCCATAGCAGAGAGCTGAATTGGAAGTGGAGCAGCCAGGTCTCAAACCGGTGCCCATATGGAAGGCCAAAGCTTCAGGCCAGGGTGTTAACCCACTGAGCCACAGCGCCGACACCTCATAATGATATTAAAGTGAGGAAAGCCATGTGCTAACAAACGATCTTATTTAGATCCCAAGTTGCTCTTAGGGAAAGAGCAGCTGAGAAATTCAGGAGATATGTGTACATCTGAAAAAGGATGAGGTTGTGGAGAGAGGATAAAAGCTAAACAGAAAAGCTTAAATCAAATTTCCAGCTCACCCGCTTCTGGATCTTACATATTTTTCAAAATATTCACATATTTTCCTAAATGTACTCCACATGCAACTAATAATGGACAGACACATGTCTTATACAAAAAGAGCTCTTACATGTCAACAGAACATAGGATTATTATTACCATAAACCTGTGGCTTAGTGTAGGGAGTTGTATTATAATGTGATTTAATTTTGGGTTCAATGGAGGAAAATTATAAACTATATAAATACAAAAGGAAGATAAATCCAGTCAGGAAAAAGTAAATTAACAAAAACTGAAACCAGTTAACAGCAGAACTCAAGAATTAGGAAATCTGCATCTATAAATCATATAAAATATAAAGCCTTTAAATATGAAGTTCAGTTTTGCATTGCTAGTGTGGTCTAAAACAATGTCACAAAGTTATACTGTGTTTTATTTCTTATGATACAATAGACACAAAATACAATTTCAATAATATATGGTTAATAACATAATACATCAAGAATGCAAAGATAATTTTATAAAAAGGAGAGGGTAAAAAATGTATCAGTGGAAATTTCCCTCCAGACAATAGGCATTATAGTGCATCAACTTAAGCTGATGCTCCAGACTCCCAGGTCCCTTACTAGGGTGCTGGTTCAAGTCCTGGCAGCTCTGTTTCCATTTCAGTATCCTGTTAATGGACCTGGGAGTCAGCAGATGACCCTGCCACCAGTGTGGGAGACCAGGATGGAGTTCTTGACTCCTGCCTTAAGCCTGTACAGCCTTAGCTGTTGGTCATTTGGGGAGTGAACCAGTGGATGGAAGATCTCTCTCCTCCTCTGTCACTCTGCCTTTCAAATAAATAAATAAATTGATATTTCAAAAGAATTTTTAAAAAGAATAATTATTAGACAGTCCTGATGTAAATACTGAGTCAATATGAACGACAAATCAATATCAACTGTTCTTAATATATATTTTTATATTCGAGTATAATCCTTACCTCATCTTGAGATTTAACCAGAGTTCTGAATGTTTTTTCTCCACTTTCTCCATCGATCATTTTATTTCGAATCTAAGGAAAAATGAAATAATTATTTTTATTCCAGGAACCAAACTGACCTACCAAAGTACAATTATTAAATACTGATTTTTCAAGATTTTTGCTTTATTTAAAACAGAGTAAAAGTGAGTTGGTTGTACCTGTAACTGCAGTTTTCCAGTGGAAAATTTTTCCAAGTTATTACATTACAGTCAGTTTACATTATTTTAAGAAGATGAAAACATTCCCAGCGAACAATTTTCAGTCACTCATTAGTTTCTTTAAGGCATTTAATAAAAGTATGGTCAACTACCTATGGAAATGTACATGTATGTACAGAATTAGCAATTAATTCAGAATGCTCAGAATTTCTGCCTGACTCGCACAACCTGTTTCATGTGAGACAGGAATTTTTAAGAGTATTCTCTACACTTTTTAGTTTTTATGATTATTTGTCATATGGGACAGGGCACAAAAAAAACCTAAGGGGTAGAAAAAATTATAAAAACCTACTTGGGTTCAATATAGCATTTCTTAAAAAAAATTCTCAACTTCTTAAAAATGAACAAGGCCATATTTATTCACAAAGTGTAACAGTCTGGCACAGCAAGTTAAGGTGCAACTTACAATGTGCCTTGAATCCTGGCTCCTCTGATTCTGATCCAGCTCCCTGCTAATGCACCTGAGAAAGCAGCAGAGATGGCCAAAGTGCTTGGGCCCCCTCCATCCACAGGGGAGACCCCAATAGAGTTCAAGGTTCCTGAGCTGTGGCCCAGTCTTGGCTATTGCGGGCATTTGTGGAGTGAACCAGCAGATGGAAGATGGATATCTCTCTCTCTTTCTCTCTCTCTCTAACTCTGCTTTAAATAAGTAAATTTTTTTAACTTTTATTTAATGAATATAAATTTCCAAAGTACAGCTTATGGGTTACAATGGCTTTCCCCCCATAATGTCCCTCCCACCCGCAACCCTCCCCTTTCCCACTCCCTCTCCCCTTCCATTCACATCAAGATTCATTATCGATTCTCTTTATATACAGAAGATCAGTTTAAATAAGTAAATTTTTAAGCGAGAGAAAACAGAATAACCAAGAACCAGTCTGCTGCAAATTCTTAGAATTTTCTTTAACTTATTTTTCATTTTATGTATCTCAACCAGTGATTTACATTTAGTTTTTTTTTTTTTTTTTTTTTTTTTTTGACAGGCAGAGTGGACAGAGAGAGAGAGAAAGGTCTTCCTTTGACGTTGGTTCACCCTCCAATGGCCGCTGTGGCCGGCGCGCTGCGGCCGGCACACCGCGCTGATCTGAAGGCAGGAGCCAGGTACTTCTCCTGGTCTCCCTTGGGGTGCAGGGCCCAAGCACTTGGGCCATCCTCCACTGCACTCCCGGGCCACAGCAGAGAGCTGGCCTGGAAGAGGGGCAACAGGGACAGAATCCGGCGCCCCGACCGGGACTAGAACTCGGTGTGCTGGCGCCACAAGGCGGAGGATTAGTCTAGTGAGCTGCGGCGCCGGCCTACATTTAGCTTTAAAAAGTGCAGATGACAAGTAAATAAATTTGGTGTGAACAATCTGAATTTAAAGAATATATGATTACTTGCTTGCTCTTGCTCGCTCTCTCTTTCTGTATCTCTTTCAAGTAAATAAATCTTAAAAAAACACACATGGTTATCATAATTTAGTTAATGGCTCCCCATGTAAGTTGAGTATCCACATATGAGAGCTCATTGATAAAGCATTTGGCACTAAGTAGACCCTCTGCAAAGCTCTTTCCAGGCATTATTTCATTTAACCACAATACTAAATGATTGAGAGAAAGCAAAAGCTTAGAGAGACTAAATGAGATCAAGAAGGTCATTCAGTGGAGTTAGGGTCTAGAAACCAAGCTCCTCACCAGTTTTTCCTCCTACTTTATGATGTCAAATGCTTTAGAACAAACATTCACGAATCACTTAAAATACTCCGGCACTACAAAGTCTATGTTCTTCCTAGTAAATAAATAAATTCTGTTGAGAGGTTAAATGTGCAAAACGTTTGAGTCAAGTACAAATTAAAACATACTGTGACAAGTTATTTTTTAAAAAACATGGTGACCTTTGAATAGATAAGATAAGGAGATAATCCATTTGGAAAAAAATCCTAAATGGCTGAGCTTTGGAGGGCAAAGGAATGATTCTGCTACCAACTGGCTGACTCACAATGGACAAACTAAATAAATTCTCTGAACCGCAAACCAGTCATCAGTACAAGAGACATTGTAACAACACAATGCCTATTTCAAAGGTTCTTGTAAGTCCATGACTGACATATGAGAACCCTTCAAAAAGCTCATGGAAAAGGGAATTAAAATTAAATTTATTTGGGGGCAACATTTTTTGCAATCTATGCACAGTTGCTTTATACTCTCCGTTTTCCATTAATATTTTGAAGACCCCTTCTATAAGCTCTATACTCAATAAATGTTATTTTTGTGTTTAATGTGACTGTCCTTGTTACTATGAAAGACTCCCTCAGAGACAATGACATGGTTTAGAAACAACATGGAAACGTATGGAGCAAAGGGTGCTCGGGTGCACAGGGCAGCTTTTCTTATGCCGCTCAACATGTGGTTGAGTGGCTGGGTCCCTTTCGACTTTTCTTTCAGCTGAACAGTGACATCTTCTAGGTCTAAGCTTGTTATCGAAGTTTACAAGTCACATTTGTGTTGAAACAGTTAACATCCCTTTTTCCCTTGGAAAAAGAAATGAAGAAAACTAAAGGTCCACTCAACGTAAAATATTTATTCCTTTGCAGATGATCTTTTGAAAGCTGGAGTCCCCGATTCAGGGATTTTTTTTTTTTTCAGACAAAGATCATTTCTCTTTGTGCCCACATCTCCTGATAGTCATTGTGACACACAAAGCATCTCAACAGATATGGGTGGAGTTGCACTGATTACACTCACCTCCACTTTAATGTCATTCTCCAACTCTGCATCGAGGAAATCCAATGTCACTGGCTCCTGAGATTTGGGGTTCTACACAGAAGACAATCATAACTAAGCATGATGACATTTAAAAAGGGATGCTGCCAAACAGCAATCGAATTGATGCTTATGAAATTCAGTAAAATTACTTACCTAAGGTACATTAATAATTGACTAAAATTATGTAACGGTGTGTTCATATAAAATATATGAAACTAAGTAGTCAAAACAAGAGAGTGATATTTGAATGCAGCACATTTTTATTAATCACCAACTGAAGAGAGTCACATTCAGAGTGTTGTATTACATATTATATTTACAACCACAAGTTGTGTGGGTAAATGATTTTTGGAGATCCACTTGCAACTTTCTTGTCTTTGCAATGAGGCAAAATACAGCCACTGGATAACTTATTTGGCAACAAAACTAAGGCAACATATAAGCATGCTTTTTAGATTTATATTTTGTAAAGAAACAAGAAAGTACAAAAGTGAAAATGCTTTACAAAACTAGGTTTGGATTTGCTAAGTAAAACAAAAACCATCAGACCTATTCTTCCTCCTGAAAATCAGGGAAAGATGCACTTTTGCTTCATATTTTTGAAACTCATAAATTTTATATTTTAATAATTCAAATTAAGTGAAAATTTTGTAAGAGAAGATTTGTGGTCAAGTCATAAAGTATTTAACAATGATTACCTACTGCAATTGAAATCTAATGAGAATAATAACCTCTGGGTTCACTAAAAACTGTTTCCTACTTCCTGCTTTAATAGGATGGACTACTTGAGACATTGACAATCATTTACAATGTCTTAAGGTTAAACGTATTTTATTAGACACTGAATAACACAGTATACATGGCATATATCTATTTTATGATGATGACAAAAATGTCTTCTTTAAAAAGTAACTCTATTTAAACAATGAACACATTTTATTCCTGTAAGTGAGGATTTGTAAACGCAAATTTAAAAAAACAAGCTTTGACATTGTGAAAAACAATGCACTGCTTATGGATTCTAATACTATAATTAGAAGGTTCCATAATATTTTCCCAGAGGAAATGAACTTTATATTTAAAAAATTAACAGGCATTATATTTATTTTAAAAACCAAACAGATACATATTTATGGGGTAATATATGAAATCCTGCATATATATATGCAGGATATCTATATATAAATATATAGTGTAACATCCAATCAGGGCAAATATATTTAATTTTTTAAACATTTGACTTATTGCTATGGTAATACATCCAAATCATAGCTTCTAGGTTGTTCGCTTTTTAATAAAGAAATAAACAGAACAGTTTCTATAGTCACCTACTGAGCAATAGAATGCAGGAGCCTGTAACTCCTACCTAACTCTAATCTAGTACCCATTAATCAACCTTTCCCATCACTCTCCAGCCTCTGATAATCACCATTCTATTTCTAACTTCTGTGAGCACAGGGGACAAGTATTATGCAATCTCACTCCTATGTGGAGACCAGGAGTTTCTGTAACATTCAAAATAAGTATCACATTTTTCAAAGGTGAAATTTCTGTCCATTGGCTGGATAGCATCTTTGCCTCAGAAACAAATGCTAGTGACTAACATGTTTCATGACAAGAAAATAAAAAATCAATATTGAAATGCCTTCTAAGTCTTTGTTTCAGAAACAAAACCTAGAAAGTTCCTAACAAATGGATTCTCCACATTTATGGTATTTTTCAGAATGCCTTACTGAAGTCTCATGAAATAAATCTACACACAAATGCCGTCACATCAAAGGAAAAAAAAAATTCAAGAAACTCACCGCAACACAAAGCCCCAAGTAATCAACATGACAAAACGGAAACAGAAAGAAGAATCTTGATCTTACATGCAATGGATAATGCATAGCATGACCAGACCCAAACGGCATGCATGGAGGAGGCGTTATCAGGGAGCATTGGCAATATGCAGGTCATGTCCCAATCCAGCATCCAAAGACACAGAGAAGAAAATGAAATCATAACAGAGCCATGTCAGTGCAGAACTTGAACTTTAAATGGCAATCTGGCTTACCACGCTGTCAATGTCCCTTCAGAGGCAAAGTGCCTGACACATTCAGAAGTACCACAGGCTCACAAGAAAGCACTGAGAGAGTCTGTGTGTCCATTACTTTTGCTTGATAGTTTAAATGTATAATATTTCTCAATTGTAACATCTGAGTATCAATGGACAGATGACCACAATCATTTGTGGAAGAGGCAGAAGGCAATGTTGTTAACAAATTTTAAATTGAAGCAACTACTAGTAGTATTGTAAATATTTCACAACTGAAAAATTATTCCCCAAACTGAGACTTTTGTGGAAAATTCTGTGGTTGCTAGCTTGCCATTTGGGGTTTTCATAGAATGAAAACAAAAATAAAACAAACCATTTTGCAGGTTGTTTATTTTTTTATACTTCTGTCATAATATTTACATGCAATATGAGATGGCTAGAAAAATAAAAAGTCACTAAAATGCACATGACTTTGCAAAGTAATATTAAAGATAATAAATCAAAAAAATCATGCAAAAAGAGTAACAAAACAATATAACATGTCAAACAGGCATAACCCTGGTTTTAATCTCTATAGAAATCAAGGAAAATAGAAAGACTTTCATATGCCGAGACATAAAACTCAAGACTGTCATGGAGTCCTGGAGCTCCAAGAAAACGGAAACTTCTACCACAGTTCAATGACTCTGCACTTTAGAACAACCTGGGAGCCTTAACAATTACTCAGAGTTATGGGATCCAATCCTGGCCCAATTAAATCAGAAGTCTTCAGGAAATAGAAGTTTTCAGGAAGTTTTCACTTCATCAACTTAACTGCCTAGTACATTTAATATGCTGTGTAGGGTAGAAAACAATGGCTAGTTCAATCCTCCTTTTCAGGTAAAGGAACTGAAGGAGTACACAATTTAGTGAACTGCAAAGGAATACAGTGTTAGCTACTGGGGGAGAACCAGACTAGTTCACTAACTCATAGCTTTGTGACCTCTTCTTAATATCTGTTCTTTGCCCATCCCAATATCACCAGTATTTTAAAAGAAACAGTAAACATATGGAATGGGTATTTGGCCTAAAGGGTAAGGTGCCAGTTAAGCTGCCCCCATTCCACATCTGAGTGACTGGGTTCAATGCCTCAGTCTTGCTTCTGATTCCATTTTCCTGCTAAGGTGAACGCTGGAAGAGAGTGTTGATGGCTCAAATGTTGAGTTCCTGCTACCCATTTGGGAGATCTGAATTGAGTCCTAGTTCCAGGCTTCCGCCCAGTCCAGCCTGGGACTGTTGCAGGCATTTGGGGGTGAGCCAAGCAGATGGAAGTGAACTCTGTTTTTCTTTTGATCTCCACATCCCTCTCTTTCCCTCTGCCTCTCAAATTATTTTTTTCTAAGTAAAGGTAGGCTTACATATACAATCATCAATAATGTTTAATATTACTAGAGAACCTAAAATTCTCTTACTAAGTGGTAGAATGTATCATTTTATGTTAAATATTTTAGTATGCATATAGAAATATGTATACACATAACTTTTAACTCTTATTGACAAGATTTTGCAGTGAGTTTGCCGGACAATAAAACTCACACTATTTATATTTAATGCTGAATATTTTTATTTAACTGAAGAGAAGTTCCTATAACTTCTAATCCAAAATTATATTTTTAAAAACTAAAAGAAATTTGGGTTTGAAATTTATGACTTACGAAGACTGTCAATTAGAAACTGTATCTTTATTTTCACTTACAAGTCAATAATTTTACAAGCAAATTGTTAGGATCACATGGATTTGACATTAATTTTAAATTAATAACAACTATATTTTTAGATGCCATCTTATTATGATTACTCTGATTGTTAACATTATAATTGCATAATTTACTAAGCAATCTTTAGTTAGCCAGTGCATACCCCCTGCCACCATTAATAATGCCTTGGCCCCAGTTGATTGAGAAACCTCATGCTTGGGCGCTTGCTGTCAGGAAAGACGGCTTTAATCATAGGCTTTAAGAACGTAAGCTTCATCTCAACTCTGATTTAGCGCATTTGAAAGCACAGCTATGTCTGTCTTCATTTACAGTTACCTGAACATTGGGTCTCCTTTTTCTCAAATTAATTGTTGGTATACCTACACCAATAGGCTGGAGCAACAGAAAAATGGTAATTCATTCACACTGCATTTTGACACAAGTAAGGAAGGTTCCATCCCGTAATCAATTTTGATCAGATAGTTCCTTGACTAGAAACAGGTCTAACTTATGTAATTAAAATTCAAAATACTTGCTAGCTACCAGAGTTTATGTTCAGAAAATAAAAGTTCAAACATCTTTAATAAATAAAGATGCTCATACTAGTAAAAAATTATTTTTAAGCAAAATAACCATTAATGTTTGATTTTTTCCTCTGGAAAAGTATGTATTTGGGAAGTGTGAAAGATAGTATGTCCCAGACTACTTTTCCAATGATTGAGGAAAAAATAAAAAGAGAGAAAGATATGGGAAATTATAGAACATATAGAACAAATATGCAAATACTAACAGTTTTCTCCTTTACTATGCAAACAACCTAAATGATATTACCATCAGATGATAGAGTTATACATATCCACCATACGTACATTTTTCTTGTTTTTTCATTTGTCTATGATATATTTTAGTTCTTTTGAGGGGGAGTTTAAGAATACAGTAGCTATAAATTTAGAAATCTTTCCAAAAATCAAGCACATTCCATTTCTATCCTTTTAAATTATTTTACTTTGAGGAATATAATTTAAAACATATTGGATATACAAAGACCAAATATTGGAAAACTTTAAATTTCTTTTGTGATTTAAAAAGATAAAAGATTTTCAGCTATGGCAAAGTCATAGATTGGTCACCTAATGGTAAACAACTCTACTAAGGAGAATTTAACATGAGGCCCGTGAAGAGTCAGCAATGATGTAAAACAGTGCCTATGTAATACTAATATAATATAATATAATATAATATATTATATTATAATAATATACTTACATAATACTTATATAAAAACAATGTATTTATGGGACAGGTGTTTGCCCTGGAGGTTAAGATAGTGGCATCCCGTATTGGAGTGTCTGGGTTCCACAACACCCTCTGGTTCCTCAGTCCAGCTACCTGATAATGCAGATGCTGGGAGACCCGGGTGACAGCTCAAGTAACTGGGTTCCTGCCACCCACATGGGAGACCTGGATCAAGTTCCCAGCTCTGGCCTTCTGCCTGGCTCTGCTCTAGTCATTGTGGGAACCTGGGGGTGAAATGGGATGAGAACTCTTTTCCTTTGTTTACTTCTCTCTTCTGTCAGTTTCTCTGTCTCTCAAACAAATTAGAAAAATATAGTCATATTATATTAAACATAATAAACACTGGTTAGTAGTTATATTTGCTTAGCTGCTTTATTTATACCATGATGGATTTTATATGTAAATAAGTTCCAAAGAGAGAAGAATTCAATAGAAAATTAATCACAACATGTAATATTATTTATCATATTAAAGCAAAATGCAATTAATTTAATGTTTTTGCATTCAGTATCAATGGTTCTTAATTATTGATTTGGACACTATTTAAATGACACAATTTTATGTATGTGTGTATGTGCACTCATTTGTGCTTTCTAACACACGGCCTATTTTCAATTTCCATGTCTGGGAAGGAAATAGCGTGCATTAGTCTGCATGGTTTAAAGTATCTTCAGTATTATCTCAATGTGAAACTGTAACTTAAAAGATGTTCATAAAACTGCACTTATGATATACTATTTTGTCTAATTTTACTTCCAAATACGTTTTGCCATCAATGCCCTGTGAAGAATTAATGAACAGTGAAATGATATGAATGAGGTAAGTTACGAAAATATTTTATATCACAGGAAAACAGGCATTCGAAATAAAATAAAATGGTTCCTCTATGGAATTTTACTCCTTCCAGAATAACTCATTGGTAATAAACATTTCCTATTTGTGAAGCTCATCACATGTGTTTTGCTTATTGAATTTCCTGTGTTACTTTACAAGGCAGCTAGAAGTATAAAGACAAACCCTTTGGAGATGGAAAGCAGAGAGAAGAGCACTGGAAACTGGCCTGGGCTTAGAGGAGCATTGCTGATGTTTGTCAGGTTCACACCCATGTCTGCAGCAAGGTCTTTCACTACCATACAGCCTTAATCAGTCACCAGGGGGTTGCAGGAAACTGACGGTCAGTGGGTAATAACCACTGTCTTTAGGTAGCAATATTAGTTCAGCTAAACTGGCAAGAGAAAATGATAACTGCTTTCACACTTTCATACATTAGCATCTATGGTCTTGTTATATCCAAGAAGAAAGTCCCATTACAGACTGTTCTTTCATGTTTGGTGTTGTCTAGTGAATTTAAAAATGACAATCCTATTAAGAATATTAATCATTAATTTTATAAAACATTATTGACTGTAAATAAATAATAGATATAAATACCTTTGGCTGAAGATTTGGATGTAATAACACATAACCATTAGGATCAATTGCAAAATAGTAGCCATTGGGGCAGAGCTGAAAAATAATCAAAAAAGTTTAGATAGAGATTAATGAGACACAATCAAAAATCTATACTTTTTTAACAATTATTAAATGCACATTTTATAACATGTTGAAGAATAACCTGGTATCACATTTTAAGGGTGCTCTTAACCATTTGCTTTCCTTATTAAGATAATTTTTCTTAATTTTTGAGAATTACTTAAGTGTTTATGGTTATGGTAAATTAAGTTCTAAAAGAGAAAAGTTACCAAAAGAGTAAATTGTGTCTTACTGTAAAACGTGGTGTCAGTCTTTTAATATCTTCCAAAGACACATCAACTCCCATCACTCCAAGAATCAGCTGGTTCTATAACAAGATGGCAAAGAGCACATTTTACACTAAGAGACTACTTATTTCTACATAATCGCTCTCTCAATATATATTCATCCTTTTCCTTTGATAATGGTCGTTTTCCATATTATCTTAAACATAAACTCAGTATAGAGTGAGGCACATTGGGTGTCAACTTACAAAGACTCCCTGCTTTAATTGTTTTCCACTATGTTATCACCATTATTATTTAACTTAAATGAAGTGGGTGACTGAACATATGTGAGATTTCTTATATCCTTTTCTCCTAATATTTAATTGATACTATACAGTCAGCAAGTGTAGCTCAGGGTGTTTTTATGGATGTATGTGTGTGCAGACTGTATGATGAACTATAATTAAGAAACTATGAGAATGTCTAGCTTATAGATTGGACCAGAACACATTGGATGCTTGATGTTGATCGTACCTGTGCATGTGTGACTATCTTGAAAGTATGTCTGTCATCTTATTGGTAATAAGATCCTCAAAACACTTTTCCTAACTGCCAGTAATAACTTCCAAATACCAAATGATGGGCATCATAGGGTTAATTATAAATTGAGGAGATTACATGGCAAATTATTATCATACTATCCAATGGGACATAACAATGTTAGCATTTAGAATTGGAAATACTGATTTTAAATAAACTTATATAAAGCATAAAATAATAAGTTGAGATGTTTACAAAGATTATAAAATTTAGTTACTGGTTATGAAGAAACTTTAAACTTTGTATAGGTGCAGATTGCAAAAGTTCTGTCAACAACCTCACTGTTTCCTGTGAACCAATCCTAATCTGAGCAAAAAACTCCCCAAGTAATGCAATCTGTTTCAAAGTCCATAGTGAGATTTGTAAACTTGTACTTGAAGTGTACTTGAGGGACATAAAGAATTACTCCTTAATGAACTGCAACACTTAGAGCACACAGGTATTTAGGAATGGTAATGGACTTCCAAGGAGAAAAAAATAATTAATGCTTTCTATGGCCACATTATTAAAATGAGTTCAACTTAGATTTCTAATAACTGAAGAAACAACACCTAAGTGTAGTAGACTTTTCTATAAATTGGAGACGAATATTCTTTCAGGTCAGGAAGACCACATTCACCATAAAAGAAGTATCTAGTATTAAAAATACAATCTTAACTTCTACATTCTCAGATTCTCCCTGAATCAAGATAGGATAAAGGAATACAGTCCTATATTTAAATCATAAATATCTGAAACATAAGAAACAGAATAGCTACAAGGCACATATTTTCAGAACTTTTTAAGTAGATAGCATTTTATTGCATTGGCTATATTACCAGTGTTAGAGACGTTAAGTGCTTTTAAGAAACTTGTTATTTTTCCTGTATCTTAGAAAATAAAAAAAAATATAGAACTTAATTTAAATCAGATCTTTAGGTAACAGCATGAATAAAAAAAAAAAGATTGCTTGGGAGTTGAAGTGGAATGATTTAATAAATATACTTATGTACCCGATGCAAACATCACCATGATTTTGGTTTTTGGATTTTTCTTTCTGAACTCCATGAATATCTCAGATGCACTTTAAAAACGTGCACACAATATTATTGTCCATTCATCACGTAATTACTCCCAGGGTACAACTTTGTGTTTGCATAAGGTCATAGTAGAGTTAAGTTCAATCTTGGCTCTAGGGCAAGAGAGTGTGACTGTACTTCCTTTTTCCCAGGTGGTTACCACAAGGCTGTTGTTGCCTTTGACTTTTGGCCTCGATAGATAGTTAAACTGTATGTGCGTCCTTATAGAAATATCTTATCAACATTGGGCTTAAACGTCACAGCTTATCATTTATTATTGTTAATTTTATCAATTAACTTTTAACCTTTAAGTTTGTCTTATTTTCAAATTGGCCAGTTATGTTGAAGACCGGAAGAGTTCCAGTAATGACAAGTCCCAGTTCCTAAAAATAGATGCAGAAAGAAAGGCAAATGAACACTACAATTTGCATTAGCTTTTGATATTTAACATTCATTCTGTAGTTAATTCCAAAAAGTCACAAAAACGAGTCACTTGTTTCGAATATTGATTAAAGCTTATTTTAAAAAATCAAGCAAAAATGTCTTGGAAATAATTGAGACCTATTAAGTAGCTACTGAAGCCTGTGACATGTAAAATAATACTCTATTGGGATACTGCTAATAAAGTAAAAAATTATCTACTTACACAAATGATTAATAACTGCTAAACATTTTAGGAACCATGCCTACAGGTTTTCATAGTGATAGTTGAATGAATCTCAGGGCCCTCCGCAGCAGAGCAATCTTAAAATACTTGAAATGATTTGTTTACCCTTCTCTTTTCTTGCTTTATGCTTAAATTTTTTATGCCAAAGACTTCAGGCTAAATCACAACTGTGTAGCTGAATAACATGGTAAACAGCAGAAACAAGAAACTGATAGTTCATTTCTGGGATATTTTAGGTAAACACTACGCTATTCAAAAGAAAGAAGCAATATTTCAAATAACCCTGAAAACAAATAGAACTTTTTGACAGAGTAAAATGGTGTAGAAAAGACGAATAAAAGCATCAAACTGGAAAGTTTTCTCATTTAGCAGTTTAATATAACAAAAATAATGTCATCCTTTTAATCAGTGTACAGATAATTTCATATATGAAATGGACCCACAGAAATTAGTGAAATAAAATGATCTTCTAAGTCAAAGGTTGCTTTGTTTAAATAATTACTGAAAGCTGCAGCCATTTTACACACACACACACACACACACACCACATATAACCAGTATTTCATGCTAAAACTAGATTTTCAACAAAATTTTCTTCTTTGAATAATTTAAAAATTACTGTTGGAAACTGGATTTTCAAAGACTTGAATACACTGGTAATCTCTGTGTGAATAGTGGCCTCCAAATCCAAATCTCACAAAGACCACGGTCTCATAGAGCCAGAAGCACAGGGAAAATGTCTGGGAGGGGTTATAACTTACAGTAGTGCACATGGAAGCCCAAAACCAATGGAAACTGCACTGGGGAGGAGGGACAATGACAGAGAGGCTTCTGACTGAACAAGTTATCTGGGGCAAATATAACTAAGGAACAAGTGACACAGTAGGGCACACTGGCTCTCTAGCCCTACACAAGAACTTTTGATAACAAAACATACTAAAAGCTCCCCCATCAATAAAATTAGATTAGAGATTTATTACAAAAACCTAATATCCACAAGATAATTCAGTGACGATTATTCTGGTGAGATCTTGACTTGAATTATAGCTGATAAGAAAAAGATTTAAAATGCTGCAGTCTAAGACAAACTATATATGGATGAAATCTTTTTCTATGCATTACTTTTGCATTTATCCAGAACACCATAATTTGCTTCTAAAAATAGTAATATATATCAAAAAAAGAAGATACCAGACTACTAATGTATTAGATTTAAGACAATCATAGATAAACTCCCTAATGATCAACTTCTGTTTTCGCCCTCATTTCTTAAGAGGCACAAAATGTGTATCCTATTCCTGGGCACTTCACACATCTCCAGAGAACAAAGAGAGAAATAAAACAAGATTTCTGCCACCTTATTTTACACTTACTTTCTTCAACGCACATGATTCTCTTCTTATACAAAGAGGCTCACTTTTCTCCCAAGTAAAACAACCCTCCACAGTTTTTTCCCAGTCTTGTTTCTGCATTGATTTCTCAGTACAGAAACTGATCTTCATGAGTAACTAGGTATTGTTCAATCAATACACCCAGTACTTCTACAGCTTTTATGTTGGATTCCTTCACCTCAGCACCACTACAGAAGCTCCTATGTTCAACTAAATGTCATCAATTTTAATCACAGCCCACTACACATCTCCAAACTTGGAACGTCTCTGAAATTCCAGAGCTCTTTGAATTTTCTCATTATGAATATTATATTTGGAATTGAAATATTTTTAAATCTTCCTTCTTAATAAAACTGTTGATATCATTGACTTGCAATTCAAATCTGATGGATGTAGATATTTTTAAACAAATAATTTACAAACACACAATGGGTCCGTTATTCCCAAACCAGTGCAAAAAATGCTCAGTGTGCCCAATGAAGAGCCAATTCATGTGTTCCATGGTCTTTGTTTTTATTTTTTACATTGAGTTTCACCTTGTTGTACATTTAGTACCCATGTTTCCTCCTAAGTCATTTGTGCTATCAGGACGAACCTCACCAGCAATGCAGACATGTGGGTTAATGAACTTCTGGCCATAGGAACCATAGGAAGGCATGATTAGTGACTCTTTCTATTGTACACAGTTCTGCAGTGGATTGGGAAAAGGGAAGCATTTTGGCCAAAGCTCTAGATGACCATGTGACCTTAAGTAAATAAGTAATGTCAAGAAGGAACACTGGACAGTAATTTTAGCTAAGGCTTAAGGGAAGCAAGCTGCATATTATCTTTCCTAGCATGCAAGGCTGCCGCTAATAGTGCCTATTTTTCTTCTAACTTCCTGTATATGTTTATTTTATAAGAACCAAATGATAAGTAATTCTAAATGGATTGCATCTTGCCCCTTGAGGTTCATCATTGCATTTAGAAAAGTAGTAACAGCATGTAATTGAACTCCAAGTAGGGGAAAGGGTATTGAATCAGCAGTGACTTTTCAGGGCTTGTTTTTTTCATTATATCCAATATATTATTTAGTAAGTAATTAGTAAAGATTACACATATTAATAATATTAAGTGTAATAATTTAAAATTTTTATATCAGGAAAGTAAGGATTACATTAAAAACATTTCTCAACTTCAGCCTCATTGACATTTTCGGTTGGATAATTATTGTATTATTTTTAAAAACGTATTTATTTATTTTCATTTTATTCAGAAGGGAGGGAGGGAGGGAGGGAGAGAGAGAGAGAAAAAGAGATTTCTCATCTGCTTTCACTTATCAAATGTCTGCAATAGCTGGAGCTAGGCAGGCAGAAGTTAGGAGTCAGGAGCTGAATTTGAGTCTTCCATGTGGGTGGCAGGGACTCAACTACTTGAGCCATCATCTGCTGTCCCCCAGAGTCTGCATTAGGAGGAAGATGGAATTGGAGGTGGAGCTGGAACTCAAGCCTAGGTACTCTGATCTGGGATGCAGGTGTTCCACATTGCATCTTGGCCACTGCCCCTAACACCTGCCCCTGGACAATACTTTGTTGTGTGCATGTGGAAGGGGGCTGCTTTGAACGCTGTAGTATGCTAAGCAGTGTCTGTGGCTTCTACCCATTAGATGCCAGTAGGAACCTTTCCCTCTCCCCAGCCATGACAATCAAAAACGTCCACAGACATTTCCAAATGACCTGTGATGAGCAAATCACCGCTGTGGGGGAATCACTGCTTTAAAATATGATGGAATACTGTATTAAACATGAGCTGTTCAAGGAGCAATTTATGTGTGTGTGTTGTTTCACAGTAAATTTCATCACCTCAATGGTATAGTTTCAGTCAAAATGTCTGGGGTTGAATCTGCAACAAGAAATTCTATATGAAGAAGTAACTGGGTTATGATGATTGCTGCGAATCTCACTGCATGCACTTCTGAGCGTTAGAGGGTCTGGTTATTGTTGTGGAGGTGCTTCTACTTTAAAAGCAGAACTCTACTTCAAAAAACATTTCTTCAGTATTCTTGCTCAACATCTGCAGACATACCTTCTCGTTCACATACTTTCAGCATGATTTTTACATTCAAAAGTCAGAAAGGTACTGAAATATTCATAGATTCAATAGGCTGGATTGGAAATTGTACATAGTAAACATAGCAATTGAAAAATAGTATATTAAGCTTGTGGTTCTCTTACACATTCAAATTTAGGTTTTCATGTGGTTTATCTAAATTCCTGCAAAGAAGCTTGTGCTAGAAGGCATTATAAAGAGGATCTGATGAAGAGAGAAAGAGAAATATCACGTACAGAGAAGTAGTCAGCTGTGCTTATGATAGTTTGGTTCAATATTCAATAACCCAGCCTCTTACCAGTGCATCCAGGTACACATTTGTCCATTGGACTTGCTTAGCTTTGTCTCCTGCTAAAACCATCGGTCTTCCCAGAACATCTAGGTATTCCTATGCATTAAAAAAACACTTGTGGTTGAAAACTAGGAATTCTTTGTTAAAAAAGATCTCCATAGAGAAAAAAGTAATTGAGAGTTAAAAATAAATGTGCAATCAAAATTAAGAGAGCAAGTATATAATCATTTAATTCTTACTTTGGGCATTCCATATCTGGTATATCTACATACTCTAAAGCAACAATATTCTACTTACATGATTAATGTGATATATCTAACCTAGTTCCTTTTTTCTAGTAACAATAAGAACATTGTTTTTCCGAGGTACAACTGCTTATAAGTAAAATATGCTCCTTGTGAAGTGTTTCATACTTTAATTTGAACGATTTAAGGTTCTGCGATTTATTCCATGAAATGGTACAAACATGAAATAACAGAGCAGCTACATACTTGCTTTCATATCAAAATTATTTGGAGGAAATTCAAAACTACATTAAAACATATCAGAAAACAAATGAAATACTATGCCAAATATAGAAGGCAGACTCTAATGTAGCTGCTGTTTCATTTCAACATTCAACATCTTAAGTATGCATTTCCAGAAATCCCATGTTATGTAGTCTCAACTGCGACTTAGTCCATTTTGAAGATTTTTCAGTTATTTTCAAAATTGGCCAATGATTTTAAATCATAATTTATGAGTGTTTAAAAATAATACATATTTAAGTTAAATTTCTTTGTTCTACAAAAAATTAACAGGTAGGTTGTCAACTGAGTGGAGGTTAGAACAATCATCTTTTTTGTACACTTTAAACATGTAAACAGATCTCTAAGAAGTTATTTTGGAGTTATCAAAATTCTGATAATCTTACACGGTTTATCCATAACACTTACTGTTTAATTTTCTATTTGGGTACCTACAACTTAAAAAGCCTCATTTAAATGATATGCATTAGAACTAAATTCAAATTGCATGAGATGAGATTGTTAGTAAATCTGATCTATTTATTTTCTATGATGTTTTTTAACATTGAAGTAAACAATATATATATACTCATATATATATATACTCTCTCTCTCTCTCTCTCTCTCTCTCTCTCTATATATATATATATATATATACTCATACACATAATTTTTACCTGAGTTTTGGATGTTTGAAAACCCTTGGAACTTTTATGAAATAAAAACCAATACATTAACCCTGACATTTAGCATTTTAATATAAATGTAAGATTGTGAATCTTTTTTCCATTCTTAGTTGCAAACACTGTCTCCATACTGAGCATTTTTAACCTAGAAATCTTATACTATGAAAATAATTTAAACAAGTTTTAAAAGCCATACCTGAGTATTAATTCTTATGGCTCCAATGGATGGAATTTCATAATAATAACCTGAAATACATATATGAACATATATATGTAAATACAGTAAAGAGATACACAAAACATTTTATATCTTTGAAGGAAAAAAGTATTTTTCACTTCTTAGTTGAGCAAATACAAAATCACCAATATTGACAATACAGTAAGAAGTTATTTGATTAATGCATGCTCACAGCAAATATGTAGACTTTATGAGAAACTGCTACATATCTTGGATGAGTAACAAAATTAATGTTATATAACAATAAGGAACCTGATACCATTAAAATATTGTTTTAATTGGAGAAATTATTAAAGATGCAGTTGGTTATATATCTGATTATTATTGTATTTACCTGAATATTTGCCTGAATATAACTTTCAGAATAAATTCAGGTCTTTTTGTTGCTATTTTTTTGTAGTTTATTTTCCAAATAACATTTTTTTCTGAGTTTTTTTTTCTGAGTACAAAGGAACTATGGGCTCCTTGCACAAAATTTTAATTACCTAGGCACATTCAAGAAGACATTTTCTAAAGCAATAATTAAACCACTCAGAATATTCTTGTCACTCTTTCATACCTAAGTTTTACAAAATTCAGCTATTCTGTCATTCCTGATTTTTCATGTAAGGTTATAGTTGACAAGTATTATGAGGAATCATTGCATACAATATATCTTTTTATAAATGTGCAGTAACATGATCAGATATCTAAATTTTTATAGGATGTGATGCTCCCATCAAAATTTGCTGTGTGTTTTCTCTATAGAACACACGTTCAGAGCCTTATTTTTGCTTTAAGTCCTATAAAAGTTCTGTACGACTTAGGATATTTTATACAATAATATGTAGACCTGAAAACAAGTAGCAAGTCCTTTTTCTTCTAGTGAAATGTAGCTAAGAAAACACATCTGTCACCTTTATTTTCGCAAGCCATCCACTGAATAGGTCCTCTGTCGTAATTATGTTGGCCAACTGAGAATGTGAATACACGTACCTGAATGAATTGAAAAACAGCTATCTGTAAGGTTGAATAAAATGTACTAGATGTCAAAACAAAACAGTCAAAGTGAAGACAATTAAAAGCAAGCTTTTTGGTTGATTAATGTGACAAGAGAAATTGAGGCCAGTGGAGACTTCAGGAAGGTACCAGAGAGAAACCACATGATCTATTGTAAACACAGACTACAACTGCCAAATTAAATTAGCACATGGGTGCTCTGCACTTTATCCCCTGGCTAAAGTTTCATTAGTAGAAAATGCCATCTTTCAGGTCTAACTCAACCTTACCTGTCTCATCTCATCAAAACATATTACACACATTTGGTCCCTGCAAAAAATATTTCCCTACTCCACAGGGTATGTGATGATGAAAATGTATACAGAAAGTTGCTAGAATCAACTAAAATTAGTGACTGCTTTGCTACCCTCACACCATGAAAATATTTAGGGTATACACAAATGATTGTGTTTGTGTATGACTTATTCTCTGGAAAAGATGGCTGGGATATATAAAAAGGTATTTTTAGCTCTTAGGGTTTTTTAGAGACTCAAAATTACTGTTTCTAACATGCTTTCAAGTCTGTGAATAGTTTAAAATTCAACTGAGATCATTTTAAAATCATAATTATTTAAATATTTATTAAGAACCATTGAATTCAAATAGTTGTTTGAGTATAGAAAAGATAAATTCACTGATACCAAAAAAAAAAAAAAAAAAAACCAAAGGGCAATTTAATGTATGTTAATCTTTTACTAATTTAGTAATCATACTAAAGCAAATCCCAAGTTCAACATAGTTATCCAAAATATCAATTTTCTATGAGTTCCAAATCCAAGAACAAGGTTTACAGCTTTTCCCTAATTCTTGCCTACTGAGTATTTGAACTGACCTTTTCCAATCATTCTACCTGTTTTGGTTTTTTTTTAACCTTTTACACATGATTCTGGAGCACAATCTCAAAAGAGATTACGTGTGTGTTCTCTGTTCTTTAGCCAGTTTTAACCACACAAATCACATTCTAATTCCTGCCCTCAAAACACGTCCTGATTGTTGCTGTGTCACTCATTAAGTCATCCAGGTTTGCCATCTGGGTGTCCATGCTCTCGAATTCTACGTATTAAATGACTGATTCCAAGTTAACAGGAGAGGTTGGTTCTCTCCCTTTGGCCTCCTTGATCTCTCCCTGTCTTTCTCTGGGAATGCTCATCCTGAGAGTTCTGCTTATTGCCCTTGTCTACACTCCTGAGGAAGGGTGGTTTTTCCATTTACTACTTGTGGAACACTTTATTTAGTGGAGGGTAAGCTTGTGATTATAAAGTAAATTGAAAGTATGTCATTGCAAAAACTAAAAGAAAAATAAGAAAAGAAGGAGAATTGAAGGTGGGAGCGAGGGGAGTGTGGGAAGTATCAGTATGTTCTTAAAACTGTATATATGAAAACCATGGAATTTTTTCCCTTAATATCAATAACAAAAGTGGAAAGAAAAACAATGCAATTTCTTCATCTAACTTTTCAATTGAGTCAACTTGGGGAGCAGTCTGAATATTTTGATGTAGTGTTGTTGTGCTTACATAATTGACCTTACTCTGAAATGGATATATTTTTATAAGCGGGTTGGCCACCCTAACTAATAATTCAATTTTACTGTCATACCTTGCACAATCATCTCATGAACTCAGGGCAAGGAAAAAAAAATCTGGTGGATCTTTCATGATGAACATTAGAATACAGGCCTCATTTTTCACATGAAAGCACAGCTCTGTGTAATGGCTCCTGGTATCACAGCAGTGTTCTATTAAAATATTTTCCATGAAATACTTTTCAGTAAAAACATAAATGAAGAAGACTAAATGAGTTATTAGACCTACATCTGTGGGAGGCAAGCATTTTTAACAACACAGCAGCTGCACTTTAGAATCCAACCACGTGACTATTTTGACTGATAGTCCAAATACACACTTTAATTTAGCAAAAAAGAAAAACAGTAAGGCAAGCTTGTTGCTGTATCTTTTACTACAAAAGTTTCACTACCATGTGTTTGCTAGCTCTGGGAGGCTGTCAAAGTCAAGCTATTTAGGATGAGGGTTGAGTTTGCAAGTGTACATTCTGTCACAGTTAATTATAATGCTTAAAAATATGCTAATCTTTTATTTCTTGCTTCTTTTTTTTTCTCACATATGTTTTTGGTGATTTAACACAAACTGCGTTATCTGACTGAATCACTCCTGTATTATCAATGTATATTTGATACCTCTTTTCTCAATTTTAATTGGCCTGACGGCAGCCACTTTAAAGGCATGATTTTTCTGAAATTTTTTTCTTAGGGATTAATGAAATCTCAAGAAGTACAAATGCAACCTACTTTTCATAAATTGGGCCACTGTCTTATGTCTTACTATTAGTCTTTAAACACACTTTAGTTAATCATATAAGAAGAATTTTAACTGAATTGATTTCATAAACATCTGCATTACACATTGTATAGTACAGGTATATAATGAATAGGTGAAATTTAAAAGAGTCTTACTGTACACTAACTTTCTACTTGGAACTGCAGGCATTGTCATCCCTCCTGTTCCACACTGTGTTACTGCCACCCTGTGGAACAGTCAATGAACTAACTCTAAAATTCCAGATGCCAACGTCCAGAATTGCTGATCCCCCTGTTTTCCACTTCTGTAAATGTACAGTTCTTAGTTTTGAAAAACATGGAAAAATAAAGTGACTCCTTAAAATGCATCCAATTTAAAACATAAGGTACATTAAGTTCTCATAAATATGTATTTGAAGTATTCATTTCTTACCAGTGTGTTTGTAGGATTTTATATAAAATTAAAACAATTTAAACTATATAAGATAGCTCCAGTGTCAGGTATTGTGGTGCAGCAGGTTAAAACATCATTTGAGATGCCTACATTCCATATCAAAGTACTTGGTTCACTGGGGTCGGCACTGTGGCGCAGCAGGTTAAAGCCCTGGCCTGAAGCGCCAGCATCCCATTTGGGTGCCGGTTCTAGTCACGGCTGCTCCTCTTAATCCAGCTCTCTGCTATGGCCTGGATAGCAGTAGAAGATGGCCCAAGTCCTTGGGCCCCTGCACCCACATGGAAGACCTGGAAGAGGCTCCTGGCTCCTGGCTTCGGATCAGTTCAGCTCTGGCCGTTGTGGCCATCTGGGGAGTGAACCAACAGATGGAGGACCTCTCTTTCTGTCTCTACCTCTCTCTGTAACTCTTTCAAATAAATAAAATAATTCTTTTTAAAAAAAGTACTTGGTTCACACCTCCACGTCTGATCCAGCTTCCTGCTAATGCATACACTGGGAGGCAGTGGATGATGGCTCCAAGTACTTGAGTCTCTGCCACCCATGGAGGAGATCTGGATGGATTGCAGTCTCCTGGCTTGCACCTGGTCCAGCCCTGGCTCTTGTGGGTATTTGGGGAGTGAACGAGCAGATAGAAGATCTTTTCCCTCTCTCTCTCTGCCACTCTGTCATTCAAATTAATATTTTATAAAAAAAAATAGCTACAGATATTTAATATGTAATCAGACAAGCTAAATATTTCATCTAAAGTCTTAATTAAGCAAATTCCTCAGATCAGGCCAAGACTACATACAGGCAAAGTTAACGTCCACGGGGGGAATTCTCCTCCACTTGTGTGGCACAGTGCATTTATAATCATACCATTAGATTCATGGAACAGAGACACAGTGGAAATTTTCTGTTCTAGTTCCTAGAAAGCTAGCTACATGTTTCTCAGTTAGGGTGTGTGACTTTCCGGTGGGCTCTGCTGTGAAAACGTTTGCTTCTATGAGGTTTGCAGCATAGGAACACACGAGATACACACTCAAAATCAGCTTTGACAAATGTTTTTCAGAATGCTGGAGTGCAGGTCTTTGACAGAAAGAACATGGGTGGCTGGCGCTGAAGAAACATTGGATTAGGTTAAAACAGTTCCAAGACTGTCCAACGTGGCATCTATTGTAGTGACTTACACACAATCGAAATACATGCTTGCTTATTAAATGACAGAAGTGAAGTCTCGTGAGTGGTCTCTACTCCATGCCTGAGGGACTGCAGTAAGACAAGATTTGGGGTCATCCAGCGCATGGGTCAGTTCCTTGTAACGTGGGAAGAACAGAGCCAAAACTGGCCCAGCAGCTATCTCTTATTTTGTAATTTGGGTTATTTCGTTCTATTTATATGGCATGGTAAACTTCTATCCTTTAAATATTATGTAGACATAATAACTGTTCCTGAACAAAATTTTTTAGGTAGCATAAAATATTCTTAATAGACTTATACCATTTATGTGCTGTGTTACACTAAGAGAAATAAAAGAATTCTTGTTATTCTTGAGGCATGCTTAGTTCTATAAGCATAAATGCAGTAGTAATCTGAAGAGCATATTCAATAAGATTAAATCTGTAAGTTAAAAATTGGTCTTTATTATTTGTTGTAAACTTACATAGCTTTAACTTCATTTGTTTCAAAAACTAATTTTTCCCTGAGCAGAGTTTTATAATTCCAATAACTTTGCTTGATACAACATGCCTAACCTACTTGATTCAAGAAACTGCTTAATTATCAGCAAATTTCGTTACTTAAAATGTTAATACTGCTTTGTTGCCTATAATAGAACACAGATTTAAAACTTAAATCCCACATTTCTGACTTTTGCTAATCTGTTTTCTATTTTGTTTTGTTTGTTGAAAATTCAAATACTTGTCTTCAATTAAGAATCTTCTAAAGACACAAGGTCAACCTATTTTAAAAAGCCATAAGAACTTCTGGTTTCCCAGCAGAATCTGGTTACTGGAAACTGTCACCTCAACACTTATCAGTTACCCAGAGTTCAAGTTTAATTTATAATAGGCAAATCTCCAAAGTATAATGGAAATGAGTCTATGAAGAAAGGAAGCCAATAAAATAAAAATAAAAACTTCAGCTATCGAAACATGTCAGAAAAATTATGTCAGAGATGGGTTTTATTAA